TAGTATGTGCTGAGTACTATGTTTCGTACTACTTAAAACGCGCCTCACGATCAACAGAATTAAAAAACAAAACACCCAAATTAGACTTAGCAAATAACTCAAGTCGTACTTTTCTATGCGCCACAATTCGCCAGTGTCCCGGGAGCGAGCCAGTGAGGCAGCGGCAGCCACTCAGACAGCAGCAGCGACAGCGGGAGGAGCGCCATCCTCATCGGTGGGAGGACCAGTTTCAACGACGACAACGGCGGCTGGAGGGGCGACTTCCGGATCCGGAGCAGCCTCCGCGAACACGAACAGCAATTCCTCGGCCTCATCCAGCACAGTGGCAGCTGCACAGGCGGCTGTCTACAGCGGCGGCAACACGGTGACCGGAAGTTTGGGCAGCGGCGGGGTGGTGGCTCGTGGCTTCCGCAGCCACAGTCCCACCCACCGGCGGCGAAGTCGCGAACGCCAGCGACGCACCCATGGCTCCGATCAGGGTGGTCTGCTGGCCTACAGCGGTCTCGTCGGCGTCAACGACATGACGGATTTCTTGGGCCCACAGCAAGGCGGCGGAGGAGGAGGTGGTGGAAGCGCCGGCACCGGCAGCGGCCTGGAGGACTCCCGTCTGTCCGGCAACGAGGACTACTACTCCTCCTTTGTCTCAGATGAGTTCGACAGCAGCAAGAAGGTCCACCGCCGCTGCCACGAACGCAGCTCCAGCGTTCAGGCCATCGACCGATTGAACACGAAAATCCAATGCACCAAGGAGTCCATCCGACAGGAGCAAACTGCCAGAGATGGTAAGTAAAAATGTAGTTAAAATTGGCTTTTTAAGCCATTTTACATTTTCTGGAAATTTTAAGATTTTTGATTTCAAATATATGATAAAATAATTTTCGCAAACCAAAGTTTATTATCAAGAGATAAGAGGTGTTAAGAAACAATTGGTACTATTATTTATTAACGCCGTACTATTAAAAGAAAAGTTTTTAGAATAAAGGCCGATTAGATCTGAAATAAAATCACATCTTTAATCTACTTTAATTCTTCAATTTTAGATAATGTCAATGAGTATCTTAAGCTGGCAGCCAGCGCAGACAAACAGCAGCTGCAGCGTATCAAGGTATGTTTATATATTTATCTTTTAGAACTACATTTCATTAACTCGTAACTTCTCGACAGGCTGTCTTTGAGAAAAAGAACCAGAAGAGCGCACACAATATCTCGCAGCTGCAGAAAAAGCTGGACAACTACACAAAGCGGGCCAAGGATCTGCAGAATCACCAATTCCAGACGAAGAGCCAGCACCGGCAGCCGCGCGAAGTCCTGCGCGATGTAGGCCAGGGTCTCCGCAATGTGGGGGGCAACATCCGCGATGGCATCACCGGATTCTCCGGATCCGTGATGTCCAAGCCAAGGGAGTTTGCCCACCTAATCAAGAACAAGTTTGGCAGCGCCGACAACATCAATCAGATGAGCGAAGCCGAGCTACAGGGCATGCAGTCCGCGAATGCCGACGTTTTGGGCAGCGAGCGACTGCAGCAGGTGCCCGGAGCCGGGACATCAACGGGATCCGGTGGGGGCGGACATAACAACAACACCGGCGGTGCGGGCAGCGGTACAGGAAAATTCAACAGTGACAATGGCAGCGAATGCAGCAGCGTGACCAGCGAAAGCATACCAGGGGGGTAAGTTCAGTCTAGATTTTATCGCTTAAATAAGTATACTCATATGTATATAGTTTGAACTAGGTATATTACCCTGAGGATCCTAAAGGATCAGTTTAACACAATTATGATTAAAAATCAATTCTTAAATGAAGTAATACAAACTAAGATGTTGTCAGAAGTTTTTGATGAATTTTGATTACGTTACTATCATTAATATATTAAATGTAAAATTGTAAATAATCCTAGGTCCGGCAAAAGCCAGTCGGGTGCCAGCCAATACCACATAGTGCTCAAGACATTGCTAACCGAGCTGGCTGAGAGAAAGGCCGAGAATGAGAAACTCAAGGAACGCATAGAACGTCTGGAGGTGCGTATATACCGAGAAAGCCAGGGAAATAGGGATTTCCTATCACCAATAATATTTGAATCTCTTTTCTATTTTCGGAAGACGGGCCAAAAGGAATTCAACAATCTGACCGCCACACTCGAAAGTGAACGCTATCGTGCCGAGGGACTCGAGGAGCAAATCAATGACTTGACAGAATTACATCAGGTTCGTAGTTCACTTGGCTGACGCTTTGGCAGTTTGCCCGACATTCGTGCTTATGCTTTGCCGCCTTTGTTTGACAGAATGAAATTGAGAATCTGAAGCAAACGATTGCCGACATGGAGGAGAAAGTACAATACCAAAGCGATGAAAGACTACGTGACGTCAACGAAGTGCTCGAGAACTGTCAAACGAGGGTAAGTTTGAACGTTTGGGGAGGACTGCAACCCCAATCCAGCCAAATGCAAACCGAATTTAACCGACCTTTTGCACAGATATCGAAAATGGAGCACATGTCGCAGCAACAATATGTCACCGTCGAGGGCATTGATAATTCCAATGCACGGGCTTTGGTTGTGAAACTCATCAATGTGGTATTAACGATATTGCAAGTGGTTCTCCTGCTTGTGGCCACCGCTGCAGGCATCATAATGCCTTTTCTCAAAACGAGGTAACTATTGCTAAATTCCGTGCCACGATGAGTGTCAATAATATAGTTTTTTTTTTGGCTTTCCTCATTTCCAGGGTTCGCGTTCTCACAACATTTTTGTCCATTTGTTTTGTCATCTTTGTGATACGACAGTGGCCGGATGTTCAAGATATTGGATCCGGACTGGTGCGGCATCTCAAGCAATCACTGGTGGTCAAGTAAACTCGGTCGGCCATCTCATCTACCGAGTAGTTCATACGTTCTTTAGTTAGCCTAAGTTCTAAAGTGCATATTTTGTATATAGCTTATCGATAACGATTATACCAATAATTTTTAACTGAAATTGTATCAATTATCAACACGAACACACACTCTCGAGAAACTGTACAAAACATTCATACCCATTTGTCTTATCACACACCTAATCATCACACCCACACTTCGCATCAAATTTAGCAAAATTGATTTAAACTATGTAATAACTTGAAATGCTGATATGTCTCCGTGCATTACTCAACTATATTTGAACATACATAATTTATGTATAACCTATATTAAATATTTACATTACTATAAAACAATTGAAATTATATAAAATGAAAGTTTTTATAAATCGGAAATTTATCACTATGGAGGAATTGATAGGTAACAAGAGAGATACTTGTTACTTTGCTGAAGGGAGTGCGAGGAAATATTTCCAATATTTGAAATGAGATTTACCTAGAGGCGATTGAATTAATTGCACATACATAACTTTTTAAGGGGTTATAAGCAGTTGTACCAGTTGAAATAGCGTGATTTCCAGGATATTTTTTTTTTAATAAAAAATCCCTCGTTCAGCAAAAAGAGAATTGTTTTTTATAGCTTCTTAAACTTTTCCCTGAATTAGGAGAACTGTGCATTTTTGGGAGAACACTGTAACGAGATAACTGCGTTTTAAATTTTGGTGCCAAGCGGAATCAATTTATAAAATGCTTCGGTTCTAACTGTCCAATCATTATAATTTTCGATGTAAGTATTCTTAAGATAAAGAAATTTAAAAAAATGTATTAAAAGGAAAAGGATTACAAAATTATACTTTTTTATCAGGTACAAAGGTCATTAAAGAATGGTCCTAATTTGAACGATTTTTTGGCTGAAACAAACTTTTGCTTTTTAGGAACACCGATAATATCAATGCTTAATCACATGTACAAGCTTTTGTAGTTCCCAAGATACCAACGTTGGTATAGTTGGGCTGGCTTAATGAGCGACTAGTATTTTATTTGACTCTCACGTGAGCTCCTAGGACCAGAATTACATTCAACAATGAAAGAAGTAACTGAAAGCCGAAGTTTTTATACCTTTGCATTTCAAATAAATACTTAGCATTTAATGCTAAGTATTTGAAAATGCCTACTTAAAAACAAAAAATAGTTAAAATTGTATTTATTTCTTTTTGCCATACAATTATGTGTTTCGATCCAGCTCGTTCTGACATACATATCTACTATCTGTAATAGAAAGAAGACTTTTGGGAAAGTTGTATTGCCTTTGCTTTAAAACTGGGAGACTAGTTCGCATAGAATTGGAGAGACGGACTCGCTTATTGGTTCTGATCAAGAATACATATACTTTATGTGGTCGGAAACGTTGTCTTCACTGCGTGGCAAACTTCAGATTGAATTTTTACTACTCTATAACACCATTATAACTATATGAATTCTGCTTCCAAATAGACACATAAAATTGCGTTGGCGGCAAGAATGAAGGACATAGAGGAAATATGGTACTGGACCAGGGATCTAGAAAAATGTAATGAAGGCAATGTGGAAAAACACAGGGCGGCAACACGACTACTATTTTGGCCGCAGCTGTATGCTTTTATGTTTTTTGACTATGTTTTCTTAAATTTGTTTCTCCCTTAATAAAAATCATAAAATTATTCTAAGTATGGGGTTTGAAAGATAACGAGTGTATCTTTTAAAAAACTTTAACATCGAATCAAACAATGCATCCGTTTGTCTCTGAAAGTTGGAAAGTTGTCCAATTTCAGCATTTTTCGAACTTTGAGGTCCTTTTGCTAAGAATCCTTGCGTCGGGGAACTTTTTGGAAAACGAAGTTTAACTTGGGAATTCGTAACGAATCCAAAAATATAGCATCCATCGATGTAAATTTAAAAAGCACTAAAAATGCTGCACAGTGTAATTATTAAGTATTTGAATTTTTAAACAAGAAAATTACATTGAAACATAATCTTTATTTTGACCGATAAAGTTTACGGTTAGATTTTTTCAGCAACATAATTTGTTTTGTAATTTAAAGATATTTTCTTACCTGTAACTGCCAAGAAATTAAATTAAAGAATTACCGATTTATTAGTTTAAGTCCATTACGTTTATTTTCTTGAATGTAAATTATATTTAGATTATACTGCCACAGCATTTTTAAATATATATATCTGCATCTATGCCCTAATTGATTTCGTTTTGTTGTAAACAGCTTTTAGTGGTTGCATACTTAATTTTTTTTTGGGAAAAATAATCACAAACTAGCGCTTACGGATTCTACTTTAGTAGAGTGTGGCAACGACATTGACTTGAATTATAATTTGATCATATTTGAAAAAATAGACATGGGTCGAAAATCTATTGCATCATTGGATTTCAGTTTCATACGCTATATAGTAAACTTAAAATTAGTTAAATCGAGAATAATGTACAATATACAGGCCAATGCCATTTAATCATTTGTTTCAATTAATTTCATTGCGATTTTGTTGGAAAACAGTTCTCAAATACATCAAAATAAAAAGACCACTATTTGGGAAAAACATGACTATGGTCGTGAATCAGTTTAATAGGTGTGTCTTAGTGTTGTTTGGATATTTGGGTGTTTGAATTGTACAACAGATCAATGATTAATGCGAATCAGGTAAACAATTAAATCTTAACTTGGTATTTTTCGGTTTGCATCTACCGTTTACATTTTTGGTTGGGAGTTTGCAGGCTAGGCGGTATTCAGTGTGCCAATTGGGTTAATTGTAAAATGTATATAAAATAAATCACAATTTGTATACGCATATAAATGACGTGTGTGTGTTTCGTGTCTGTGATTGGGTTTTGTGGGTGGGTGCCCTGGAAGTGGGACAGCGCACAGTCCAACACAAGGTTCGGCTACATATTTATTAATATTAATAATAAACATTTGTTAATTGTTTAAAACAAAGCAGCTGGCAGCCACAGCATTGATCGCGAACCCAAACGAAAACCGGACCCGGGTTCATTGTTCGAGGATCGGCGACCACCTACAACCTACAGGCTAAGGACTCGCGGCGAACTAACTCGCCTCATATGAGAAACTGGCGATCGGATGCGCTGTGCGGCAGGGCGGCCACGCCTATGCCGCCCTGCGTGGGCGTTTGCAGGAACGCCGAATCGTCGACGCCTGTTGAGTCCGCGGCAGGCGTGCTGATTGCTATCGGTTCGTAGATCGAGCGATGCGGTGGCATATCGTCGTCGTCCTTGAAGGAGCCGCTTAAATTCGGATTGAGGATGTTGTTCGATGCGGGCGAGGCTACAGCAATTGTCCCCGTCACTGGCAAACCCATGGCACTGGTACCGGACTCAACGTGCTCCAGATAGGGTGGCGCCGCCACACTAATAACTGTTGGCTGGCGGCGGAAGAACGACCTAAGGAAAGTAAAAGGGCATTTAGTTTATTAAATCTATTAGTAAAAGCATCGTAGTAAACTAAGCGAACACGTTATATATTTTAGTTGTATACAATCTCACGACGGTAAAAGCGTCAGCGCTTAAAGGAACTGGTTGAGTAGGGCCCGTTTTTCGTTGGCAAGTTAAACTAAAAATGGGATTAAGACTTTAAATCGAAAATCTTATTTAATAGTCAACTATTATTAAAAATTAATATACGTTACAGCTTTCAAATTTTCTTTCCACAAAATAGATTAAATATTTGATATACTAAACAAATAATTTTTAAAAAAACTAAACCAAAATTAAACCTTGTAATATCTTATCTTCTGTCATATGGATTGTATAATAAAAATTGTAAAATGTTGTAATAACAAGAGAGAACGCTATAGTCGGGTGCCCCGACTATCAGATACCCGTTACTCAGCTAAAGGGAGTGCGAAGGAGATGGAGATAAAAACTTTAATCTACCGTAACTTTTAAACGAATGGTCCGATTTAAAAAATTTCTTCTACATTTCGATAGGTATAAATATAAACAAAAAAATTGCATTTATACTTCTCGGAAATCTTCAAAGGTGTGGGCGCCAGACACATGTTAAAATCATTAGTGGGCGATTGTGGGCGTTAGAGGGGGCGTGGCGCTAGGCTGAAATAAACTTGCGCTGCGTAGCTTCTAGCTTTTGTAGTTTCCGAGATCTCAGCGTTCATACGGACAGACGGACATGGCTATATTGACTCAGCTAGTGACCCTCATCAAGAATATATATACTTTATAGGGTCGGAAACGCTTCCTTCTCCCAGTTACATACTTTTGCACGAATACAATTTACCCTTTTACGATACGAGTAACGGGTATAAAAATGAGAAATCGTTTTAAGGCCACGAAGAAAAACTATAAATTTCAAAAGAAATCATTCAGGCAATGAGTAGGTGGGTACGTAGGCATGTAAATATATTTCATGATAATTTGGCCATGTTATTATTATTATTTTATGACATATAAATGCTTACCCAAAATTAATTCGCGACCAGACCGAGGGACGACTTTCAGTTAACTGTTCGGCTAGATGAGCCGGCAGATTAGGAGCACGATCGAATGGATTGATGCGTTCGTGGGCTCCAGAGGACGTGGCCGGACGCACAGCTGAGTTCAGCAGGACTGCATAAGCAATTCGATTAGTTATTTGAACAATCAAAGAATTAATTTCGCGAGCAGACGCACCGTTCTCATCGTCAGAGCTTTGCGACTCCTCGAATGGATTTCGGCCAGCGTCTCCACGTCGGAAGGTTCCGTGTCGCGTTGTTCCGGCGACAGCAGCCGCCGCAACACTCGAGCTGCTCCCGGCAGCTGCTCCGGCAGCTGAGGAGGCGGAGCTCACCTGCACCGCCTGCCGGCTGTTGGACTGTTGTTGCTGCAGCAGAGGCGTCGTATCGTCATCTGTATCGGTGACATTATCCAAAGAAGGCTGTCGACTCCGACTTGCACGCGCTTCGCCCTTCGTAAAAACCTTGCGCTTACAGATGGGACAGACGCGTCGATTTTCGGTTAGCCATGGATCGATGCAATGTGTGTGATAAGCTGGAAGCAATTTTAGTTGGTTAACATTTGTGTATAATTTAGTTACTAGAATTGGCTAAATTTAATATGAGTTCATAAAATGCGTAAAATCGTGTGTGTGTGCAATGCACACTGTGCATTAATTGTCAAATTCGTGTGTTATTCGATTAATTTTTCAAACTCTAGGGTAACGGGTATAATCAACGAAGTATGAACAGATCATTTTTGGGTAAAACGTTGTAGGCAAAAAATAAATATTACAAAATTAAAGCTGAACTGGAAAATTTGTTCATTCATTTGAAAACTATTTGAGTTTATTACAAATATTTTCTTACGATGCGAGCATGGCAGCACACGCAGCTTATCGTCCTCGATGAAGTCCTCCAGACAAATCACGCAGGTGTCATATTTGTTGTTCGCGTTGTTTTTCGTGTAGCGAAGCACTGGCAACTTCTTCAGCATACTCTTTGGCAGTCGATGGCGACGCAGGCGGCGCTGCTCGCGGATGCACTTGTAGATCATATAGATAACCTGTCCGTCAAACAAAGAAATACAGTCAGCACGAAATCAAGCGATTAAACTGCAGGTCTCTCACCATGATGATGAAGCAGAGGCCAATCAGTATGGAGAAGGGCAATATCAGCTGGGTGTTAATGTTGAAGGGCAGCTCATCGTTGATGATTAGCACCACTTCGGGCGTCATGTAGGTGGCCAGAGCCACACCGGTCGTATGGCCCACGAAAACCGAGGGTATTCTAATGCCAGACGAATTGTCAGCGGACATTTGTTCTGAAATTCGGGTAAAAATAAGAATTTGGCGCTTTATTTGTGTGTCCATTTGCTTACCCAAGTCATCGCCTTCATTATTGTAAACAATCACAGCAGAATAGCTTGCGTTCTGGGCCACTCGTACCTTCCGCTCAAAGGTGCAATCGCCACCGCTACAAAAGAACCGCATTAAGCCTAATGAATACGCTTAAATTTAGCTTATGTTACTCACCGCGATACTAGGGCTACAAATTTGGCTGAGGGTGGGTAATTCAGGTGCGGTGGCCTGTCCAGACTATCACAACCATAGTAAGGGCGCTTGGCGGGAACCACGTACACTTTGAGACCATTTGATGGCAGATGGGGGCCGAATTGTGCTGGCATATCATTGAATTCCTCAATCAACTGCAATAAAGCAATAAATAATATTAAATAAACCATAATCGTACGGTATTTATAAAAATACCGTTTATTTTTTGGACAGTAAAAGGAACTTGCCTGGCTCGTTGCTTTTCGGTAGACCAACACATGACCCTTAACCACGGCCGCCTCATGACAGACCAGGCACAAACCCAGCAGGGTGAGTATGTGACAACTCCTCTTGGACATTCTGCCACCCAGGACACGACTTCTGGAGACGATCGGGTCTTCGTCTATACTGTTATTGCTCTAGTCCGCTATGTCCACTGCTGCTGCGATGTGTCTTAACCATCAGCACTATTTGCATGTCTCATCTGTGTGCCACCGACAGCGATTCTGTACGTTTGGGCCTCGGTCTGAAAAACAAGAAGGAGTATGTTTTAAATCTGAAGATTAATAAAGCTTCAAGGTAATCATAAATTTCTTAAAAATATAAGTTTTTTTAATGAACTTATATGAATTTTTGAAATTAACAAAAGTCCCAACATCAAAAATAAATCTTTATAATAATATTATTCTTGATTCGGTGAAGTTAAGTAACTGACCTCTCCGTGGACATTTAGGAGGGATAAATCTGAGAATGTTGACTATTCTTAATAAAGGTATTATGTAAAGCCCAGTGCTATTATCCTGTCCACCACTGTAAGTGAGGACCCTACGTGAAGGCAAACCTGCGGGTATTCATCCCCGTGTACAAGTCATTCGCAAACAAGCAGTCCAGCTGATAAGATAAACGGCTTGTGATCATTGTTTTTCTTTTTATTTCACGACCAACTGGTGGTATTGTTATATGGTTGATTCTGCAAAATTGTACGTTTCTTTAATCATGCTGCAGTCGACAGCTGTTTTGTTTGTTGACACAGCGACGGTCAGAGTAGTTTCTCTAGAATGCATTTCATGCTAACTTACTAGAAAAAATCAACGCATGTGCGATATTGGGCTCAATTCGCCATCAATTGATTTTATCGCGATGCAATAGTGACCGAGATCTTGGGGGCAGCTGCAGCAATCAAGACAAATAGGTCTGCTTGCCGGCTTAAACCAGATGAGTCACGAGCAGCTTTCCATGATAAGAACCCAGATCGTATGCCCATTTAACTAATCGTCGCCAGAACGCTGACAAATTGAATTTATATATGGGGCAGAAACAAATGTGGAAAGTTTTTTACGAAATATTATAAAATCTGCTAATATGTTTAGTCCACAGACCCGGGAGGTGGTGTGCAAATATGTCACAAAATGTGTATTAAATTTACGATTTAACAAAGAAAACGTCACAGGCATTAGCACATCGATAGACAAACGGAGCAGAGACTTTATTGAGAACGTGACTTTGTTTTTATTGGATGGGTAAACAATAAATGAGAGGCCCACAGTTGGTGTTCCAATGCGAAATTCAATCTGTGGAGGCGCGTGTGGAAATATTCGCTTAATAGTCCTAGCTTTTTAAAACAAATTTTTTTTAGTAATAATTAAATTTTAATAAATCTTTTGTAAAGTTTCCTTCCTTAAATTCCTTAAATTTCCTTAAGATAATATAATCGCTTTGTTATTTGGCAATTCAATTTAGAGTTTAACGCAAACTTTAAATTAAACATACGAACGAGAAGACGGCACTTGGAAAAACAATAACAATACGTTGTTCTTCTCAGCAATAAAATAAGGATTTATTAATCTAAAGCGTACGGATTAAGGGGATTACACAAATGGTGATCCATCCATTACAATACCAAACTATTTAAAGCCAAAGCCTTATATATTTTAACAACCCCATTAAAATAAATATCTGTAGAATTTTAATTGTATCCCTTTAAAAATGAAATGAAAAGTTAAACTTTTAAAGAGATAATTAAAACACCAAAATTTTTTCCATCAAGAAGGCTTCTAGCTTTATATTTTATTTACTTAAAATTTTGATCAATATCGATCAATTTTGAATTGTGCAAAAATAAATATGTATATGCAAGTTACCGAGTTATCCTGGCAGACAGATTGGGTGTTTACCAATAGGGAATGTCTGGGAAAACTGGAATCTGTGAAATTCGCGTTAATTCGCTTTGTTTCGAGGGCGGATATCAAATTACACATTACACAGCACACGCAGCGCCCACCCACCCACACACACGCACACCTTGAACTTTACAAGGCACGAGTGTGGTTTCAAGGTTTTCTTTTTGTGGGAATGTATATATTTTAGTTATGTACGTACACATGGAATGTGCATGTATTTCCTGAGATGTGGGCAATAGTGTTACAGGTGAAAAGCCCCAAAGGATAACACAATAATGCACCCAATTAACGGCAGCAGCCACAAGTTAATGTACTTCAATTTCGTATATTCGCTGTTGTTATGCTTTTTTCAGGCGTATCTGCTGTGTTTCGGTGTGTGTGTGTATGTTAAATTAGCACAACAACAAAGCAGCTGAGCGATTTCCTGTGCATTTTTCGACTTTTTTCACGTACACCCATTGCTCACTCACTTGATTAGCGTTTTTCAGGAATTTGGCTGACTTCTTGGGCCGACTTATGGCCAAATCCTATCCCGATCTGATTTTTTCAACACCCGCTCGCCTCTTCAATCGTCGCCATCGCAGTGGTATTGCGTAGTACTTTGTTTTGCTCCTTTCCGGGGATTTTCTCGGTTTTTCTTGATTAGATGTCGAATTTCAACGGGATAACAGCCAGCGTAGTGGCTGTGGAAAGAGCATGACAGTCGCGATAAGGGACACTTTCAGTTCACTTTCCTAATTATCGGATATAAGAATTTACATCCGCACACACACAACTAGAGCTGGAACAAAATTGATGAGTATTCGATTCTGCATCGATGTTTCCCAGCAATCATCGACTATTTTCACTTCCGATAACTATCGATAGCACTCTCTAGCGCCTTAGAAATTAGGATGGCAACGCTTTTATTTTCCTAGCAGAATCTAGGCTTTCAAAAGAATGGAAATTAACAAACTTTTTCAAATATTGTTTTTAGGAGTACGCATCTTTTTTAGGGTTTTGTTTTTTAAAGTAAATAATTATTGAAAATCTTGATAAAGTCTGGATAACGATAAAGGTCTCACCTTCCAATATCGCTCCTATTTATCTGGGTTATCTACACATGAGTTTTGAGATTCAATTTATGATTATTATTTCCATTTCTAAACATATGTATTTCAAAGATATGCTAGACACTTGCTTGCTTTTGAATTCAACAAAATTATAACATCGTAATAAAAGAAACTTCTTAAAAGGACTGCTATTTCTAAGCAAATGTATTTCACTTGCTTGCTTGTTAATTCAATATTACTATTCTTCCAATAATCATTTTCTAACTCACTTTAACTTCAATTAAATTCTGAACATGAATGCTATTCTTTTCATTTTTAAAGATACCACGATGTAAATAATATTTTAAGTGGTTGCGTTAATATATTAAGTGGAACAATAATGCATTTGGATTATGAAAACTTAAAATCACATGACTGCAGGCTACTTGATCCAGAGATACATTTTTCCTTGGATAGTGTGCTTGACGGGATTTATCTTCTTTAGGATTTTCGTCATGGTCTCGACCAAACGGTCGCTCGAGACGGGCGTCTTCTTGTTTTTGAACTTGGTAAGCAGCTCGGTGGCCGTGAGGGGTTTTCGCTTGAGATAGCGACGCACAGCCTCCTCGGTGATGCCGTAGTCCCTAAAGATAAAAGAATACAGGATGATAAGGCGTTCCAGTGTGAATTCCAGGGCTTTACTCACTCGACTTTGCCGCCAGAGAAGGAAGTGGGCAGCGACGTGCTGATCTCGTTCTTAGGCCTCTTCGCGGGGGTGCTGGTGGGACTGTTGCTGGTGTCCGACCCGGTGAGATCGCTGGGCAGGCTGTTCATCTTGCGCTTGCTGGGATCCGTCGACAGCGTGGGCGTGGCCGAACGCGATTTGTTGGCATTGCTGCTGCTGCTCGTCGAGGCTTTGCTGCTGGCAGCGCTCTCCTTTTCCTTCTCCTTCTCCTTGTCTTTGTCCTTGGAGGAGGCCTTCTTTTTGGGCGGACCATTGCTCAGATCGTCCTCGGAGTCAGTGCTATCGGAGCTGAAGTCTGTCGACGAGTCTCCGCTGCCAGTGGACTTGCTCTTTTTGTCGTCCTTCGAGGGTTTTTTCTTCTTTTTGTCCTTAGAGCCCTCGTCCTTGCTCTTGTCCTTCTTTTTCTTCTCGCCATCGGCGTCGTCCTTGTCCGACTCATCAGACTTCTTCTCGTCCTCCTCCTCTTCGTCGGAGGTGAGCAACTTTCGCAGTGCATCCTCCTCGGCCACGCCTTTCATGTCCTTGTCCACCTTTGCCTCCGGATCAGGCTCGCTAAAATCAGGCAGAAATAGAGGTTACCATTTGTAAAATATTAATAATTTGAAGTACGTACTCTTCACTGGAGCTGGTGTCGTAGTCCATTTCCCTGCCCTCCTCGTCACCATCGTCCGACTCTTCGAAGGCCTCGTCATCCACGTCCCGCTTCTTCTTTTTCTTGTCAGCGCCCTTCTTGCCCTTGCCCTTGCCTTTGGACTTGCCGTCGTCGCTGTCCTCCTGCTCCTTCTTCTTCTTGTCCTCCTCGTCCTCCGAATCGGACTCATCCTCGGAATCGATCCATTCGTCCATGTCGGTGATCTTGAGCTCCTTGGACTTTTTAGTGGCTGCCTTTATGAGCTTGGCCTCCTCGGGATCCTGCTCCTCCTCCTCGTCGCCGCGGAGACGCTTCCGCAACATAAGGGAGAAGTAGTTCATCACCTTTTTGCGGCGACCAAATTCCTGTTCGGCCTCCTCTGCCGACAGAGATTTGTAGCGTTGAATGGGCTGAAAGTTGTACCATTCGGTCAGGGGATACGCCTCGATGGCGCCGTCTGGTGCATGGGTGAAAACGTAGAAGGCGGCATTTTCGCCCACGCCACCCTCGCGGATGCCCTTGAACTTTTTTCCAGTCTTCCCGCCGACTTTCAGGATCCAAGGCTGCGCCTCCGGACGGTACTTCCGCGCTATGATGCCAAACTTCTTGCGGCGCGCCTCCTCCCGCTGATCCCGATTGTACTCCGACCCAGCACCGAACTTGGGCTGATCCTCCTCCATGCCCCGGAACTCCTTCATGTTGTTCTCCCGCTCCAGCTTCACATTGCGCCACTGGGCGAAATCCACGTTGAGCGTGGCGTTGAACCTCATCACATGGTGCTTCTTGGACATCTTGGGCACCCGGATCTTGAACTCCTGCACGTTGGCGGAGGAGGAGGAGGGTCCTGACGCGACGGAGGCAGCGGCGGCGGCTGCTGCGGACGTGGAGCTCCCGCTAGCAGCGCTCGACTGCGAAGAGATCAAGTCAAGACCGAAAATGAAGTCTCGACGGTGAACGAGGTGGGATTTAGGACTTACCGTCGGCTTTGACGCACTCGACATGGTTATGTGTTCCACTACTACGCTCAATACTTATCCTACGTTGCTAATTAACGGCTATTTTGATATATTTTCTAAACTATTCCAAGTTGCGGGCAGCGCAGCTCTAGTGGTGTGCCGGTCTGCCGATAACAGAATGGTAGTTAATGGTCCTGTTATTTATCGAAAGAGGCTGAAGAATAAGGTTATTCACTAAACTTTTGGGCAGCTGTTTGACTGCAAAAGCTTACCTTCGCTTTTACTACGCCTCTTTTTAGCCAATATTAATATTGTAAAATGTGGTAATACTCTTGTTTAGGGGACTCACTTTTTAACTAGCCAACGGGTTTTGGAATACCCTTATTCAATCAAAAGATAGTGACCGTTCACAGTCACAGTTCAACCAGTGACTCGGTGCCGGTTATCGCTCATCTCTAGCGACAGCGTCGCGAAAATTTAAGTTGTTTGGTTTTATTTAAGCAAAGCCTAAAAATATTGAAATATGTCACGCAACGTGACGCTCTCGGATGAGCAGAGCCGTCTCAATGCGCGTCTGGAGGCGCACATGGTGTACATATGCCCGGAATGCGGCAAGGCCTTTCGCACTCAGGCCGAATGGCGCCAGCACCTGAACACGGCAAGTTGCAGATTTCCCCCAAGCTTAATCCTTATCTAATGTTTTGCGATATGCCCGCAGAAACACGACTATCTGAAGAAGACCTACTCGGACTTCAACTTCATCCAGATCGACGAGCGCTTCCACGAGTGCCAGCTGTGCTTCAAGTGGGTGGAGAACGCCCACAAGACCATCGCCCTGCTGCAGTACCACTACTTCATGCACCTGGAGCACAGTGAAACCTACCGCTGTGTGCACTGCCGCATGGCGTACACAAGGCGCCGGGCTCTCAATGTCCACCTGTTGGACACGCACATGCGGGAGATCGAGAAGTACGAGAACAAACTGCGCCAGATGAAGCGGCAGCAGCAACCAAAGTCCACCGCTGTGCCCGAAACTGTTCCAGGTAGTCCAGACAAACCGACGCAAGGCAGGACACGCGGGCGGCCCAAGGGATCCGTGAATAGAAAGCAGAAGGATCTGCTGCAGAAGGCGCTCATGGACATCGATCTCAACACGGAATTGGAGAAGTCCCCGACTCAACCCGCGGCAGTTTTAGCAACACCTTCGACGGCCGCTCCAAAGATCAATACAAATGTGAGCAGTGAGCAGAATCTGGACCGGTGTTTGGATGCCTACGAGGACATTGTGCGCAAGGAGGAGGAAAAGGAGCCCCAGTTTGACGCCGACCTGGATGCCCTTTGCCAGAAATTCTTCGAAGACGGCAACACCGCCAGCCACACCGCCAGCCAAGTGAAGCCAGATGAAGAGCTGGAGCTACCGGAAGCGCCAATTCAGCAGCAGGAAAATCAGGAGGTGGTCATCATCGAGATCGACGCTCTTGGCAAGGAAGAGGTGGCCCAGTTGAAGATGGAAATGAAATCCGACCCCGTGGTTCACGCGGCCAAGCGTCGACGCCTGTCGACGACTCCCACCCGCGACTCGGACACTGAAATGTCTACCAATGGCCTGACGAAGCTCATTTCGTATTTGTGCCCCAAGTGCGGCAAGGAGATCGCCTCGATGGATGGCTGGCGGGCGCACGTCTTCAAAAAGCACGACTTCGAACACATTATCGAGAACAGCTTTAAGATCGTGGAACCAGGGCGCAAGGCCATGTGTCTGCACTGCCGCGAGGTGCAGCCAACTACCAACAGGTCGCTTCTGCAAAAGCACTACTTCAAGCACCTGCCCTACCGATCCTATCTTAAGTGCACCCTCTGCGATCGCACCAAGACCAGCACGTCGAAGATTCTCAACCACATCCGCTACAACCACCAGGAGGAGCTGCAGCGTAAGAACAAGACGCAGCTGCTTATAAAGCCGGAGCCCAAATGGGCCAGCCCCAATAGGTCCGGAAAAGCAACCCAGCCGGATGACGCCGGTTCCGAGGACGAGGAGGATGAGGACGAGGAAAGACTCATTTGCGAGCACTGTAACAAAGTATTTAAGACCAAATGGCGCCACGATCGCCATATCTTCTCTTGCAAAAGAGCTGGCGTCATCCGGCCAACAACCCCAGTCGAAGGAACCGTCGAGGCCATGCTGAATAATCTGCGAGAGGGACACATGCGAATGAGCCGCATCTGGAAAGCGATGCAACGTGAAAAGCTTTAGTTGTAGTCCAGATTTGGAGGTTAGGTGGAATAGCTTAAAAATAAAGAATCTAAATGTAATCTTTGTTTTAATTGTATTTTTGTCAGTAGCGAAAGAGACACTAGCATGTAAATCTTTTGATACTTGGGAAGTTTATCCGTGTTGCGCGAGACAGACAGAATTTTTACCATACATTTTAGAATAAATTCCTCTTGGTTTTGCGAGAGTTTACAGACTTTATTGTTTTATTGCAGTGATTTTTTAAATATTGGATAAACTTAACCAAAGCATCGTGAGAACAGGAGAGAAGATCAGTTTAAATTTGTGATTTCATCGACAGGAACTTTGGCAGTGCCTCAAGGAGCAATAGCGGTTTCGGTTGCCGCCACATCCGAGATACCTCATCTTGATGCATCTCCTGGATCTCTGGTTCCAGTACCACATTTCGTTCATGGCACTTGCTCGACATTGGCCACCTCCACGTCCTTCATTCCTTCCACCGACGCAATTCTGACGCACTATTTAAAGGTACAGTTAATAAAGTCAAAGTGCATTAGCTTTTAAATTAAAACCTACGACGAGGACGTCCAACGCAGCGTTCCTGGGCAATTGTGAGAGACACATAAAGGACAACGCAAGCCAGAACCAAAAGCAACTTCATTTTTACGAATTTTTTAGAAGCTCGATTTGATTTCACTAACTTTTCGAAAGATGGGTTTATATAGGTGGATGCCTACATTTTTCCGAAACTGATCGAAAACATCTTAACAATGGTGCTATTGTAGTCTTGTAGATTCTTTTAAAGTGATTACTTATAGGAACATCTTGTGTATCACGACAATAACGTATCACTTTAAAGAGGCTAAAATTTAGCTCTGCTGATATAATGGAAATATTTTTTTCCCAAAAATTTTCATTCTACAATAAAGCTGTAAAGTCGACTTTTCGATTATTGTCTTATTGATTTTTGTGTCTAAACAAAACAACTAATAGGAAATTTTATCATGGTCTGTTTAAGTATATTGATTTTTATACCCTATCAGAGGGTATTATGATTTCAGTCAGAAGTTTGCAACGCAGTGAAGGAGACGTTTCCGACCCCATAAAGTATATATTAGGGATGTCGAAATATTTAAAAATATCGTATCGATGATATTTTTTATTTAAACAAAAAATCAAAATGATATTTGATATATCAGAAAAAAAATATCTATATATCAGATATTTTTGATATTTTTGTTTTATTATTTTTTTTTTTAATTTTAAGCTGCATAAGCGATAACCACTAAACATTAACCCACATACGATCTTAAATTATATTTTTATAATTTTTAGTTTTTATTTATTAATAAATGAAAGAAAACAATATTTATTTTTGCTTTCTTTTGCTTTTATTTATAATGTTAAAATCAAGTATTTCCCGCGCATTTTTTTTATCGCGTTTTCTTGAGTTCTGAATGCTATGCTATGCATTTTCACTTTCCGAAAAATAAATTTTAGTGGCGCTCATCTTTCACATACAGTGAGTCACATTAATATTCGGTTTTTTTTTTTCAACTTCAAACGTGAATAAAAAGTTTGAAACTAATAAAACAAAAAATCAAATATTGCAGAAATAAAGCTTATTTTATTACCTTTTCATAGATATATATATGTTATTACTTTTTTTAAATTTAACTGAGAAACATGCATAAACGAAAGAAAAGCCGAATATTGGGGCCACATTAATATTCGGTTTTCCCTTTTGTACTAAAAATCAAAAAAATTATTAAGGAAATAAACTAAATTTGACATTTGAAATGCTAGCCATTATTGTCTATGGTATCGTTTAAATATTTTGGCATACTTTAAAATTTTTTTTCCTATTCTGGGCCAGTTTTTCCAACCTAAAAAAGGATGTACGGGATAATGTCAAAAAAAGTTTGCAAAGGTACAACAAATTCTCGATTTTTTTTTTTAAATTATGGTTAAACCCTTAGCCTTTAACTAGAAATCAGTTTCAGCGCAATCCATTAATCATACCAAAAAAAATGGATGGGTACAAAAGCAGAGTCGCTCGAAAATTCATTTTTCCTTAAGTTTTGTATGGAATCAAGCAGCAAAACGCTTCTTCTGAGCGACTCTGCTTTTGTACCCATCCATTTTTTTTGGTATGATTAATGGATTGCGCTGAAACTGATTTCTAGTTAAAGGCTAAGGGTTTAACCATAAATTAAAAAAAAAAATCGAGAATTTGTTGTACCTTTGCAAACTTTTTTGACATTATCCCGTACATCCTTTTTTTAGGTTGGAAAAACTGGCCCAGAATAGGCAAAAAAAAAATTTTAAAGTATGCCAAAATATTTAAACGATACCATAGACAATAATGGCTAGCATTTCAAATGTCAAATTTAGTTTATTTCCTTAATAATTTTTTTGATTTTTAGTACAAAAAGGGAAAACCGAATATTAATGTGGCCCCAATATTCGGCTTTTCTTTCGTTTATGCATGTTTCTCAGTTAAATTTTAAAAAAAGTAATAACATATATATATCTATGAAAAGGTAATAAAATAAGCTTTATTTCTGCAATATTTGATTTTTTGTTTTATTAGTTTCAAACTTTTTATTCACGTTTGAAGTTGACAAAAAAAAAAACCGAATATTAATGTGACTCACTGTATGTATTTTTTCTTGTCCCGATGAAAAGTGAGACCACTTAAAATTATCAAAAAAAATTGAAAAAAAAATCGATGATATATGATAATTATTCAAAAAAAATATCACGATAAAAATATTTATTTTTTCGTAAAAAATATCGATATATTGATATTTTGATATATTTTCGACATCCCTAGTATATATGTTCTTGATCACAATCACTAGATGGGTCGATCTAGCCATGTCCGTCTGTCCGTTTCTACGCAAACTAGTCTCTCAGTTTTGAAGCTATCAGCTTAAAACTTTCCCAAAAGTCTTCTTTCTATTGCAGGTAGTATATAAGTCGGAACCGGCCGGATCGGATAACTATATCTTATAGCTCCCTTAGAAAAAATACGAAAAAAAGGCGTTAAAAAAATTCTAGCTTCGGTTTTTTTTTTGAAATATTACTTTCTACTCTTGGGAATATTATTTTTTAAATATTTCTGAATTTCGAATTAAAAAATGTAAAAATCTGACGACTATATCATATAGCTGCCATAGGAACGGGCGAAAAATTAATGGGAAAGTAATAGGAAATACATTTTAGCTTCTTTGGTTTTTATTGTATTCTTTACTACTCTAGGCTATGATTTTTTTTAAATTTTTCCGAATTTCAATTTTAATTTTATCAAAATCGGACGACTATATCATATAGCTGCCATATAAACGATCGAAAAATTAATTGGAAACAAATTGTAGCTCCGTTGGTTTTTATTGCATTCTCTTGTGCTCAAGTATATAATTTTTTTTAATATTACTGAATTTAGAATTAAATTTAACAAAAATCGGACGACTATATTATATAGCTGCCATAGGGAAGGATAAAAAAAAAATGTCAAAATAATACAAAATTAAAAATGTTTGCGATTTGTAAGTTAATAGGAATGATCTGCAAGGGTATATAAGCTTCGGCTGGCCGAAACTAGCTTCTTTTCTTTGTCTCAAATTTTCGCAGGTTTTAGAAAATCAGTTTAGATTGAACATTTTTTTCCAATACAACTTTAAAGGGACCTTTTTTCACAGCTTTGGGGGGACCTTCTACATCTGGTGCTTTAGGTCCAGGTCAAGGAGCAGGGGTTTCTTCTACCAATGGAGGATCACGCAGCTCATTAAAACGACGTACTACAACATTTTGCAGTTTTTCATTGATGGGTATGGTAGCCCTTAGCGTCAAGGGAAAACTCGCTATGCAGTCCCTTTAAAAAAAATGTTCTAATAATATTCGGAACTCTTAAAGAATAAGTTAAATGACTAATACCGTGTTCTTTAATAAAATAATATTATATTTTTGGTTAAATAAAACTCGTTACATATTAATATCATGCTTTTTTAAGATTACCCCATGGTGCATACGGTTTTCGTCTTGGTTTTGGAAGATCTTAAAGACTTTATTGTTTTATTGCAGTGATTTATTAAATATTGGATAAACTTAGACAAAGCATCGTGAGAACAGGAGAGAAGATCAGTTTAAATTTGTGATTTCATCGACAGGAACTTTGGCAGTGCCTCAAGGAGCAATAGCGGTTTCGGTTGCCGCCACATCCGAGATACCTCATCTTGATGCATCTCCTGGATCTCTGGTTATAGTACCACATTTCGTTCATGGCACTTGCTCGACATTGGCCACCTCCGCGTCCTTCATTCCTTCCACCGATGCAGTTCTGACGCACTATTTGAAGGTACAGTTCATAAAGTTAAAGTGCATTAGCTTTTAAAATTTAAATGGAAACCTACGACGAGGACGTCCAACGCAGCGTTCCTGGGCAATTGTAAGAGACACATAAAGGACTACGCAAGCCAGAACCAAAAGCAACTTCATTTTGACGGATTTTTTAGAAGCTCGATTTGATTTGACTAATCTGTCGAATGGTGGGTTTATATAGGTGGATGCCCACATTTTTCCGAAACTGATCGAAAACATCTTAACAATGGTGCTATTGTTATGTATTTTGAGACGATCGATCCGATCGATTCTTTTAAAGTGATTATCTGTAGGAACATCTTGTGTATCAAGACAATAACGTATCACTTTAAATAGGCTACAATTTAGATCTGCTGTTATAATGGAAATATTTTTCCCAAAAATTTCCATTCCACAATGAAGCTACATTCGATTGTTGTCTTATTGATTTTTGTGTCAAGGCAAAACAACTTATAGGTAATTTTATAATGGTCGGTTAAAGGATATTGATTTTTATTCAATGAAATGTCTCAAATTTCGCAGGTTTTAGGAAATCAGTTTATATTAAAAATTGGTTTCAGATAAACTGAAATCTTTACATTTTTCTTAACGATTTTTAAATTAAAAAAAAAACGTTTTAAACCCTTTTTTTCCTAATTGTGATTTCCAATACGAACATCCGGAAGATAATTTTGACTATTTAGCTATACCAACCCACTGGGGAGCCCAAAAGGAGCTCTGTTTTGGGCGACTGCGTCTGGTTAGCAGGGAGCTGTGACTCATGGACCGCGCCATTATTCCGCTGCGTTCAATTTCTAGTCTCCGACTGCGCATCCTCCTGTAAACAGCTTCCTCCATTGTTCTTAAATTGGATCTGTCCACACCACCAATCCTCTTGGCACGGTCATCTTCCACCTCGTGGTTGCTGGTTATCACGACGATCTTTCGACGACCATGGTGCTTCTCAGCCTGCTTCATCAGCACAAGAAAGCGGGCAAATTTTTTCTGCAGAGCCGCTTTGTCAAGAGGTTCTGGCGTGGGTTCCAATACACCTTCAAGAGGACTTTGTTTTACAGGTTTCGGTGCCTCAGTTCCAGGTCCTGGAGCAGGCGTTTCTCCTGCCAACGGAGTAGTTGCTCCACCAGCTCCTGGAGTGGCTGGTGTAGTCGGTGCTCCTTCGGTGGGAGGACCAGATGCTCCTTCAGCCGCTGGTGTGGCTGCTCCTTCGGCAGCTGGGACTGCGGTAGTGGCTTCCCCTGCGGCCCCAGGTGAGCCATCCCTTGGCTGTATTCCATCGCTCCTTAGCATCACAAAGTCTCCTTTTCTCACAGTTCTTGCTTTATGTTCAGAATTTGACGAGTTGACCACTTTTGGTGCATTCTTCACATAGGTCTCGGTTTCGGAACATAGATGTACAAAGTCGTGGTTGACTCCGGTCTTGCAGAGTTTTCCCGCAGTCTGTCCGTTTTCGTAGACCGGCTCACCCACTACTGGAGCATGGCCATAGTTGCAAGTGAAGAATATCTGCAGCCAGGCGTTATGTGTCTGCTGAAGAATGGCACAGCCGACAAATTCAGCGTTCTCCAATACCATCTGTACAAAATTGTACTTGGGCGGTCTAACGGAAAGGGAAATGATTTATTAGTTAGCAGGAAAGATAAGTTTGAGATTGAAAAATCATACATTTTTAGAGGTCACTTTAAGTCATTTGATCAACAAATTAATTATTGTTCTTTAATTACAGAAAGTACAATATTATTATTATTATAATATTAAGATAATTTCTGATAATTTTAGAACTTACCTACCTATTGTATTATTTTTAAACATTTTGCTCAATTCGGGTAATTCAAATATTAATTTTTTTGAAATCATAACTTATTAATAATAAGTTATTATAAGTAGTACTCACCCCTTTTCCGGTTCCTTATACTTCATAATGTCCAACATCGATGTTCCGGAGTTCTCCCGCATCCACATCCCTGTTATATCCTTGAGAATGTCCTCCAACTCTGGGATCTTTCCTTTAAGGGCTCGATATCCAACAGTCTGGCCAGCGTAGATTGCTTTCTTAGTGTTACGGCATTCATCGGATTTCATGGTACAGTCCTGCACATTGAACTCGGCTAGGTGAGAAAGCTCCAGGTCCCACTTCAAAGTGCCCATACGAGCAGCCGGGCTCAATCCGTTGAATCCGCCCTTGGCAACGCTGTCCCGGAGCTCATTGAAACGACGTACTAAAAATTTTTGCAGCTTCTCATTTATGGGTAGGATCTCAGCGTCAAGGGAACATTCGCTATGCAGTCCCTTAAAAATAAATGTTCTAGTTATATTCGGGACAGTTGCAAAATTGCTTACATTATTTGTGGTTGTATAAAACTCATTACTTATTATGTTATAAGATTCCCGGACTATTCTCGTGACGGTTGATTAAACTCAAACTCTGTTAAAATAGTAAAGTCTCTAAAATTTTTCATTATGTTTCTGAGTACATAAAATAGTGCAAAAAACGTGTGTTTGAGGCATGCCTTATAAAAATTTAATAATTAAACAAAATCAAATGGAAAATGTTACACTTTTTTTCTGAATGAAAAATATTAAGATATCATTTACTTTAGAGTCAAAATCTGCCAAGTGGGCCACCCCTGTTCCGAAGGTCCGATTTTCATCGAACTTTTTTACTTTTCCGGTTCACAACGAAAATATAAGAACTTCATTTGAACGGTTTTGCGAAATTTTGAGTTTTACCGGAGTTATAGGGGTCAAAACATGGCATTTTTGTCACTTTTTCGAAAAAGTTGCACTCAGTCATTAATTCATAACTTCGGAACGGTTAGAGATATCTTTATGATGTTTTCACTAATCGCTCAAGATTTATTTTGGCTTTCCATAAAAAAATGTAAAAAAAAAAAAAAATTTTTGTTCTTAAAAATAAATCAACATTTTTTTTAGTTTTTATTTTTTTCAGTGTTCTTCACCAGCTATAGAGTTTAAAACCATTTGAAAATAAAGTTTGATTCTTTACGAAAAAGATCCAAAAAAAAAAAAGTGGCCCGGCCAAAGGTTTTTCGCAATATCGATTTGAAGAAGGGCGCACAGCGGTTTCCCATACAAAACGGCAAAAAGTCCCCCATTGACAGCTGACGCTACGCTCGCTACGGCATGTGTTGACCAGCCAGTTTTCACGAGCAAGCCGTTTTTGTATGGGAAACCGCTGTGCGCCCTTCTTCAAATCGATATTGCGAAAAACCTTTGGCCGGGCCACTCTTTTTTTTTTTTGGATCTTTTTCGTAATGAATCAAACTTTATTTTCAAATGGTTTTAAACTCTATAGCTGGTGAAGAACACTGAAAAAAATAAAAACTAAAAAAAAATGTTGATTTATTTTTAAGAACAAAAATTTTTTATTTTTTTTTACATTTTTTTATGGAAAGCCATAATAATTCTTGAGCGATTAGTGAAAACATCATAAAGATAAATCTAACCGTTCCGAAGTTATAAATTAATGACTGAGTGCAACTTTTTCGAAAAAGTGTCAAAAATGCCACGTTTTGACCCCTATAACTCCGGTAAAACTCAAAATTTCGCAAAACCGTTCAAATGAAGTTCTTATATTTTCGTTGTGAACCGGAAAAGTAAAAAAGTTCGATGAAAATCGGACCTTCGGAACAGGGGTGGCCCACTTGGCAGATTTTGACTCTTTAGCATTTCAATATAATCAATTCCGACACATTTAAAGTGATTACTATGCCATTTAGCATAACTAATAAATTTAACACGAATAAGCGTCTAATTACTTTTCGGTCAAACAATAGGTACCTAATAAAAAGAGTCATAAATCATTAATATTTTTTGATAGTGTTCGCTGTACTAACTTTATGTTGTATGTAATAGAAAAAAAGTAAATTAAAAAAAACTTTGAAAACATCAAGGCAGGATGTTTACGTGGCACATTTGTAGATTTAGTAACTTACGATTGTATTATTGCAAGCCACATGTTTATGGCCAGCGCCGCACAATGCAGGATCACAGTAGTCAGGCCCGTTTTCCGCTCCCTGAACTTTGGCACCTAAATCCTTTACTGTTGCGCGATTCGTGGTTATCGAAGCCATTGTTGTGCTTTCCTGGGCTGTTGTCAAATGAATGGCAAGAATGGCCGACAGGAAAGGGCCAAGGGCCAACGTTTTCCATCCAGAGATCATGGCGTAATAAAATGTTCACTAAAAAATATCCATATTTACCGCCATTGATCCGCGAAATTACAATTTTATAAGCTTGAAACATACAGTAAAAAAAATGGATGCTACAAAATTTTTTGAATTTTTTGTTGTTTTTAATTTTTAACGATAATTTATAGTTTTACACTTGTAAACTATTCTTATACCCTTGCACAGTGTATTATAAGTTCACGCAAAAGCTATCACATGCATTAAGGGAAACGTATTCAACGCTAAGACCTTGGAAACTAGAACCATTCTAACGCCGAGCGGTTTTTGTGGCACCCCCGTTAGTTTTTTTTCACTCGCCGCGTCACAATTTCCAAAAATTTCAGTTATTCAAACTACTATTCATTTGTCTGGCATCCATACGAATGGGAATAAAATATACTTATTAACATCTTCGGTGATACAAACAACCAATGGAGAGTACACGCTTTTTTTTATACCCTTGCAGAGGGTATTATAATTTTGGTCAGAAGTTTGTAACGCAGTGAAGGAGACGTTTCCGACCCCATAAAGTATATATATTCTTGATCAGGATCAATAGGGGAGTCGATATAGCCATGTCCGTCTGTCCGTCTGTCCGTCTGTCCGTCTGTTTCAATACCGTTTGCGAGCTCAGTTTAAAAGCTAGCGCCTTGAAACTTTCACAGTCGTCCTAAAACATGTGTACGCAGATCAAGTTTGAAAGCCGACCCGATCGGACGTCTATATCCTATAGCTCCCATAGGAACAATCGGATATAGCTTTCACAAAATGAAGATATTTCGCTCAGTGTAAGAGCTTTTGACATGAATCTTATTCTTTTACGCATACCTTGATCAGGGTAAAAGCGCGTGCCGATCGGACGTCTATATCTTATAGCTCCCATAGGAACAATAGGGTGAAATCGGTCAAAATTTGACGTTTTTCAGGATATTTCGCTCAAAATATAAGCTATTCCCATGAAACTCTCCAAATCGTATTTTTTTGTGCGTACCTTGATCAGGGTAAAAGCGCGTGCCGATCGGACGTCTATATCATATAGGATATATGTTCCCATAGGAACAATAGGGTGAAAAATTTTAAATTTTTATTTTTTTCAATTTGGAATATTTTGTTGTTTATTAATTCATGTTGCTATTTTAGTCAAGTTTTCATTAGTCAAATCTGCAAGGGTATTAAAACTTCGGCTTGCCGACGTTAGCTTCCGTCCTCGTTTTCAAATAAGAAAGGTCTATTAATCTGTTCTCAACGGCTTAATCAAAGATTCTATGTAAAAAGAATACCCTAAATTTTTTCTTGCTTCCGTTCAAGCTGGAAAAACATCGATAGGCTTTAAAAATATAGTCGATATTTGCCAAGAAAATGTTTTGAAGTACCGATAGTATTGTTATTTTAAAATTAAATATTTTAAAAAGTTGTTAAATTTATGATTTAATGGTCCTTAAACACTAAATCGAGTCTGCAATCGATATTTAATTCAAATTAGGGTTACTTAGGGTTTCACTTGTTGCTATATGAAATCAGCTGTTTTTTGTTTTGATTCGTATATGCAAGATAATAGCTCAAGAAAAAACAATAGTTAAGTGAACTAGAGCTAGCTAATTCCACTATATAGGGTCTAAATCGCTCTGATAATTGTAAATTGTATATTTAAATGCTTGTGTCCAGCATAAATGTGTCCAGCGAACAAACCGCTAGCTGGATATCGAAAAGCGCAGTGTGTGAGAGTGAAAGTAAACCGGTCGCTGATAGCATTCGAGTTGAGCTTCATACCCTTCTGCCTACGTGGATTCGCTCTCTTGATTGCCAGTTGATTGTCAACTGCCGTTTTGCTTGCACTCCTCCACAGGCAGCTAATCGTGGGCCACTTATTTATCGCTTCATATAGCGACTGTTAGATTATGTACAAAGATCAAAGGTTAATCTCGTGCTATAAGGGGAACCGGTGCTAGCGGTCCAAATATTGAGCTATTTCTCTGTTTTGCAGCACATCGCTTGAGAGAATCCTCGAAAAACCCCACGCCGAGATGAAGTTCGGAGGCAATGGAAAGCTTTTATGGAACTTGGTAACACCCTTAATGCTATACTCGTAAAACTGCCTACTAATTCAATTGCATTCCAGACCAAAAGCTCGCTTGCTCAGCAGTCTCAAAATGGGATCGCCAAAAGAGTGCTAACCGCCAGCAGCTACAGCACCGCAAAGAAGATTTCGACCTTGGAGCAGCCAAACCTCCTCAAGTACCATGTCCTGCCGCTCGAAGAAACGCTAAACCGCTTTATGACCACTGTGGAACCTTTGCTGACTCCCGAGGAACTGGAACGGCAAAAGGCGATCACCGCTGAGTTCTTGAAGAATCAAGGACGTGATTTGCAGCAGCTCCTGGAAGAAACCGGCAGCAAGGAGAAGAATTGGTTGGCCCACCGATGGCTAAAAGCTGCCTACCTGCAATATCGAGATCCAGTGACTGTCTTCGTGAGTCCCGGCATGACCTTCCCCCAACAAAACTTCAAGGACACGCGAGCTTTTGTGGACTATACATCCAGAGTTATCTTTGGATTGGGCGAGTTCAACGACATGGTGCATGCCAATAAAATTCCCATTGTTAAAATGGGCAAGAACGAGCTGGACAACAGCCAGTTTGGCAAAGTATTCGGCACATGTCGGATACCCAGAAGGGGTACGGACGAGATCGTCTATAATCCAGGATCCGACTATGTGGTGGTGATCTACAAGAATCACTTCTACCAACTGAAAATTTACAGCAAGGAGGAAAAGCTCATTGCTGCTCCATGCCTAGCTGCTCAACTGGAAGATATCATGTCGAAGGAAACAAAAGTGGGAGTTCCCTATGGTATTTTAACCACCGACTCGAGAGACAACTGGTCGGAGGCCTATGAATATCTGTCAGATTCACCTGGCAACAGGGAGGCCCTTAAGACCATTCAGAGTGCTCTGTTCACTGTGTCACTGGACGAGTCTACCCCCTTAAAGGAAGGCGAAGAGGTCAACGAACTGATTCTATCGCTGATCCATGGAAGTGGCAGCAAAACCAACAGTGGCAACCGCTGGATGGACAAGACGATTCAGCTGGTGGTCAACCCCAACGGAAACGTTGGATTCACCTATGAGCACTCGCCAGCTGAGGGCCAGCCCATCGCGATGATGATGGACTATGTGGTACAGAAGATGTAAGTTGTTAACCGCTTATATGGTAAAGAGTTAGGCTAAGCTGCATGTACTTTTAGGAAGGAAGATCCTAACTTCGGCGAACGCGGATCTGAGGACTTTACCCCTGCGCAGAAAATACTCATTTCATCGAGCAATAAAAACCTACAGCAATCATTGACCGTCGCTCAGGAAAACGTCGATAAACTTGCCGATGCGCTGCAGATGAAGGTTCTCAAGTTCGACGGTTTTGGAAAGGATTTCATCAAGAAACAGCGACTGGGGCCAGACAGCTTTATTCAGATAGCGCTGCAATTGGCCTTCTTCAAGTAACTAGCTCCTTAAAGGCTATAGCTCTTCAAAATAACCAAGTAACTTACTTTTTACAGAATGCATTGTGAACCACCTGCACAATACGAGTCGGCACACTTGCGCATATTCGATGGCGGTCGAACTGAAACCATACGGTCTTGTTCCAATGAATCCTTGGCCTTTTCTCGGGCTATGCAGGATCCGAAGGCCACAGACCAGGAGAGGGCCAAGAAACTTCGTGAGGCAGTTGTGTCTCATCAGACCTACGCTAAGCTAGCTCTTCAGGGCAAAGGAGTCGATCGTCACCTGCTTGGCCTAAAGCTGATGGCTCTGGAGAATAGCAAGCCTGTTCCAGAGTTCTTTAAATCGCCGGGCGTTGTGAAGTCAAGTCACTTCCGCATGTCCACCTCACAGGTGGCCACTAAATATGATGCTTTCATGGGATATGGGCCTGCAACAGACGATGGATATGCTTGCTGCTATAATCCCCGTGAAACTGACATCATTTTGGCCATATCTGCTTGGCGCCATTGTCCGATAACAGATCACTTGAAATTCGCTAAGGTCCTTGAGCAGTCCTTTTTCGAAATGAAGAATATTCTAGAGAAGAATCCTCCTGAGCCAAAGTCCAAATTGTAAAAAGTTTCAAATACATTTTTTTGATTGACCTAACTTTGAAATACCTGTTTTTTTTTACCATTTTCTTTATGGTCAGCCATAGGTCTCTTGTACTAACATTTCAAGAGGTATAGAGGTTTGATATTAAAATCAAGTATGCTATTCATTCACCTTGAAAAATAAAGTCAATAAATTTTATGCATAGCCAATAAAAAGTGTTTTTCATTTAGAAGAGTTTTCACCAATATTGTAGTTCTCATCTTTGAAGAACTTTTTTAAACTCATCTACTTTGAGTACTCAGACGGTCATAACCACAAATAAGCTCTTACCAAGGTAAGAAAGTTGTGAACGATTTCATTATGGTCGTACCTATTTTTATTAAATAATTTTTGGGGGGCTAACCAATGTTTCTTTTTTTCTTTATATGTACCATGCTAACAGCCTATGCAAATGTCGTAGTACAAGCAATTTTTTAGTCTACACTAAGCTTATCTTTTTTAATGTTAAAACAAAATACGTATTAAAATTTGACAGAAAATGTTTCCGTTATAAAAAAATATGTTTACATTTTCAGCCAAAAAAAGTTAATATTTGTTCTGCAGTTGTGACTTGAAAACCTTTTAAAATCCAAATTGATAAAGCGCCGAATTAAAAAAATTAAATATTTGCAATATATTTTTGTTTCAAAGGGTAGAATATGTTGCCCATAAGTAATAACATTCTCTTGTGGTCGGTTAATTTTATTGTTTGCAGTTCTTGTTTAGATAGGAAACGAAGCGCGCAAAGTTCGTCTTTACTGTGTAGATGGTGGCCCGTCGCTCCTTCAGCTCGCGGCGCTGTTGGCGCAGCTTTGACTTGAACAGCTCCTCCAATGATTGCACTCGATCGCACATCTGCAGCTCCGCGATGATCTGGGGCCAGTCGTCCACAGCGAAAATGTCCATCAGGGCATCCAGTCCCTCGGACAGGGCCCACAGATCCTCCTCCTGAGCACACCAATTCAACAGGAACAAAACTATAACCTTCACCAGTGGCTCCGAGAGCAGTGAACCCAAAGTGCCCAGCATTCGATTCCAGTTAACTCGGATATTTAAGTCCTCGCACTTTCTGGCTCCTTCGATTATCATGTTCAGGTCATTCTCGGTCATCTGACCGAAGAGATCCCTGCGCGACTTGAGCAGACTCAGCGAAGAGCGCATCAGCGCAGTGATCGCCTCCATTATGGCTAGATCTTCGGTTCCTTTAAAGGCCTGCTGGCCCAAGTTCATCCACATATTGTATATGTCGCTGTATCCGCCCAAATCTTCTGCGGCCAGCACGTTGCACAGGTTCTGCAGACAAATTAGATAGGACACCCGCATTTTGGCCACTTTCTCCTTGATACTCTCTTGCTGGGAAAGTAGCTTCTCCAAAACAGGATCCAAGGGCTGAGCTTTTTGCCACAGTTTCTCGACCACTTTGTTTTGTTTGATGGTCTCTAGGAAATTGGCAGGCAATCCACCCGCTCCACTGTCAGTTGCTTCGTCCTCCATCTCGTAATCGGCCACGCTCTCCGTTTCCGACTGATCGCTGGCGGAATCCCAGTTGCTCTGGTCATCACTGGAGCCCAAGTTGGTAATAATCTCCGCCACCAGACGCTGGGCATCTAGCAAGTGCTCCAGATTCTTAAGTGCTACATCAGCATCACATTGATTCGGTTTGGACTGGTTGGCGCTCTGGGACTCCGTCATCTCCTCCGTCTCCATGGAGATTTCCAACACGGGTGCCTCATCCTTTGCCTTGGCATTCTGGATCTCGTTCTTGCAACTCAGCAGCTGCGCCTGCGGATCAATGGAGAGTAGTTTATCCAGACCGTTAAGAATCTCCGGTGTGTGGGCAGCCGAGCAGGCGGGAACGTTGCACAGAATACCAGCAGCCAGGGCGTTGAGGTACAGCTGCGCATGACTTTCTGCGGGAACGGCGAGGAGCTCTGGTAGTATGCTACTGCTGGCCAGGACGTTCCACGAGCTGGAGTTGTTCTCGGACACCACCAGCACCAGTTGGGCCACTGAAATGGCAACCTCTAGGCCGAATTTTCGGTAGTCGAAGCCCAGCAGGAGGCTGGCAAGGAGGTTGGCCTGGTTGAAGGCTTCCGTGGCAGTGGGTGAGCTCTCGCACAAATTCCGAAGCAGATGGGTTGCCTGCAGGAAGGTGTCCGCATGCAGCTCGTTCTCAAAGCCGTTCCTGGTCAGATCATAGCCCCGGATCAGTGCCAGCAGGGCGGTCAGTATGTCGTTTTCCACAAGGAAGTCGCACACCTCCGTGCCAAAGACCGATAAGTTCCGGAAGGCACCGGCTGCCGCATTCCGAATGGCGCCCTCCTTGTCGCACAACAGAGGAGCCGCAATCCGGGCCAGATCGCTGCCGCAGATTTCGCGCACCTTCTCCTTGCGCAGCGCCAGCACCGCGAAGGAGTGCAGTCCGTTCAGTTTGTCCTCCACATCCGGTCGCTGCAGGTGCACGCAGATCGCCTCGATGGGCCCGCAGCCCTCCGCCTCACTTGAGGCATCCACGTCCAGGGCATGCTCAAGATCCGCTGAGGTGTCCACGCCCGAGGGCGTCCGAGTTTTCACTTTCCGGACTTTTCCCATTGCAAAAACAACACAGCACGTGTTTACTATAGGGCTGGAACCACTCTAATGTTGTTGGATACTATCGATGTTTTCAGATGATTGGCAACATCGATGTTTTCCCTGCAACTATCGATTCACGTTAGCTGTTCGTCGGCGCGTTCATCAGGATCACTTCATAAGTGATAACAGAGTTCTTTGGCACCCACTTGGGTTCGCGAATTTTTCAATAACGTGAAACTAATCTAATTCAGATTATAATTACAGATACATCAACCTTTTTTGGCGCAAGGTCCAAAGGCATTTGACGATTTGAAACTTTCCTAGGTAGTCCTGTATTAGACGATAGATTTTCAGAAAACCCAAACCCCTTCTTTTTGTCGGTATAATAAACTGTTGAATTGTTGAAATTCGACCAACTACTTCAAATAAATTACATTTTCAGAAAAAGTATCTATTTTATGTGTCCGGCCCGTTTTCTTTTCAGCAAGTTAAGTTTGAAGGACGCTTTAAAATAAGAATTTCCATACTTTTTCAAGGTTTTATCCGTTTTTTAAATTTAACATGCGGTCGAGGAATCGGCCCTTTATGTACATAATTCCAACTTTTTTATCTGTTGCGTAATCCGTTTATAAGCTGTTGAAACCTTTCCTCTAGGATGTTTTAAGAGCCTTCTGTGGTCTCTAAGCTACGGTTATGGATGGTGTATGAACCACCCATATTCTTTGAATCACCCACCCAATCACTTTATGGACAAGGAAAAAGCAAAGCACTTGTCATACCTTTGCACAGGATATTATAATTTCATCGAAAAGTTTGCAACGCAGTGAAGGAGACGCTTCGGACCACATAAAGTATATATTTTTGATCAGCATCAATAGCCGAGTCCAGCTAGCCATGTTCGTTCTATGCGCACTAGTGTAGGAATAATCAAAACAATAATAGAAAAAACATTGTAACTTTGTAGGAAGTAGTCGTTTTGATTTTTGACAATTTAAAAATAACATTTTTAAAAGGCATGCCTGCAAAGGTATATAAACTTTGGCCTTTCTTGTTTAAGAACTAATTTTAATTTGACGTTCTCTAACTTTTAAGGCATTTTTCCACTATGCGGTTTTTTCGGTATTTTTGTGTATTTTCGATTGGCAACGCGATAGGCGGACGTGAGGTGTTTCCATTGGCAAACGCGTCTGAAAACAGCTGTTCGGATATTGTCATTTGCGAGCTGAAGTAAACAATGGATTTAAATAATTTGTTATTGATAATTGTAATCGCAGAACAGCATTTGAACACCGTGGAAACATTGCTGCAATGATGAAAGCAACAACATCCCACGTTACGCTGCTTGAGCATTTATTACGGCAGAAAGCAAATGGATCTGCTGCAGAAGGCGTTGTGTGCCCTTTTCCAGCAGTCGCCTGTCAACGTGTGTCATTTGAATATGGAATGGCCATCTACGGTCTAACCAGGAGGTCGCCTTAATGGACGAATAGCGCACGCGAAGCAAACGTCAAGATCATGGAGACGGGAAAGCCCATGTGGCTGCGCTGCAACGACCAATATTTCGCTTCCGATCCTTTCTAGCCGAGCCATTCCATTGAATAAACGAACTGTTACTGCTCTTTATGCGCTTGGATCATCCTCGGAATTCTGAACTATTGCCAGATCATTTGGCATATATCATATATATATGATATATCAAATACCAATCTATACGAAATAAAGTTCATGTAAATATCAACAATAAATGGTTTTAATATTTCCCGCTTCTTATCAGCCTCTTATCAGTTTCGGGTCCAGAAAATGTTCATGCCTGGTTAATACTGCTTAAATATACCACAAATTTCACTTTCCAGCCCTGTAACGCGACAAATTTCCACCCTCCCCTCCTCACCCCTCGCCTACAAGTTTTGTATGGGATTTGGGCGCGTTAAGCGGTAAATGGATGCAAACGCGACGCGTCCATAATGAGCAGAGGGCATTAGTTGCGCCCAACAAGCTGTTGAATGAATTAACACCAAACAAAATAAAAAGTCAAATAAGAAGGTATATAAATATTTGGATCTTCTCACTTAAGCCTAGTACTCAGTACGACGAAAACTGCTAGCTAAGCATAGGAGTAAGCGAGAGGCAAATAGGTAGCTAAAGCCTTTAGCCGGGGACTTTTTTCACCGCGGTACTCAGTTGAGCTAAGGAAATGGTAAGGAAATACCAAAAAAATACTAGATTTAGCGGATGAATTCCGATGAACGCCTTTAGCCGCGGCCCAAAGAATAAAAAATTTGATCTTTGGCTGTGTTTGTGCAGAAGCGGTTTGCCAATAACAATGTATAAATGGAAGGAAAACCACAAAAACCAATGGAAAACTGCCTGTAGGAGTTGCTGCAATACATATCGCCATTCCAACTGGGAATTTAAAGCTTGCAACCCAGGTCGGCTCAACGTTTTGTAATATTTTAAAATTGGCGCCAGTTGATTTGTTTGCTGAGAGTAAGACCATGCTACATGCATTGCGGATGAACTCCGAAAACTTCGGTCACACTAAATGATTAATATTTTTCGACTAGTGAAACTCTTAGCCGAACTGAGTACTAGGCTTTAATTAATAATTTTAGACAGTAAGCAATTCAATAGTTTAGGGGAATTTCTATATTAACAGCAAAATTAATGAAAAACAATTTTATTGAGTTGAAATAAGCACTACAAAATTTGTTGGTATTGCCGTCGCTGGATGGTAGATGTGCTCTGTGGAAACAGGAGAAAATCTGTGGAAAATCCTTTTTCTTCACTTAAGCCTAGTACTCAATACGACGAAAACTGCTAGCTAAGCATAGGAGTAAGCGAGAGGCAAATAGGTAGCTAAAGCCCTTAGCCGGGGACTTTTTCCCACCTCGGTACTCAGTTGAGCTAAGGAAATAGTAAGAAAATACCACTAAAATACTAGATTTAGCGGATGAATTCTGATGAACGCCTTTAGCCGCGGCCCAAAGAATAAAAAATTTGATCTTTGGCTGTGTTTGTGCAGAAGCGGTGTGCCAATAACATATTATAAATAGAATGAAAGCCCCAAAAACCAATGGAAAACTGCCTGTAGGAGTTGCAGCAATACATATCCTCATTCCAACAGCAAATTTAAAGGTTGCGACCTAGGTCGGCTAATCATTTTATAATATTTCAAAATTGGCGCCAGTTGATTTGTTTGCAGAGAGTAAGACCATGCTACATGCATTGCGGATGAACTCCGAAAACTTCGGTCACACTAAATGATTAATATTTTTCGACTAGTGAAACTAGCCTAAGCCTAGTACTCAGTACGACGAAAACTGCTAGCTAAGCATAGGAGTAAGCGAGAGGCAAATAGGTAGCTAAAGCCTTTAGCTGGTACTTTTTTCCACCGCGGTACTCAGTTGAGCTAAGGAAATAGTAAGGAAATACCAAAAAAATACTAGATTTAGCGGATGAATTCCGATGAACTACTTTAGCCGCGGCCCAAAGAATAAAAAATTTGATCTTTGGCTGTGTTTGTGCAGAAGCGGTGTGAAAATAACAATTTAACAAGGAAAACCACAAAAACCAATGGAAAACTGCCTGTAGGAGTTGCTGCAATACATATCGCCATTCCAACAGCGAATTTAAAGCTTGCGACCCAGGTCGGCTCAACGTTATGTAATATTTTAAAATTGGCGCCAGTTGATTTGTTTGCTGAGAGTAAGACCATTCTACATGCATTGCGGATGAACTCCGAAAACTTCGGTCACCCTAAAATATTAATATTTTTCGACTAGTAAAACTCTTAGCCGAACTGAGTACTAGGCTTTAAAAAGAAGAATAGACCGTTAAGCCTAGTACTCAGTTCGGCTAAGAGTTTTACTAGTCGAAAAATATTAATATTTTAGGGTGACCGAAGTTTTCGGAGTTCATCCGCAATGCATGTAGAATGGTCTTACTCTCAGCAAGCAAATTACCTGGCGCCAATTTTGAAATATTACAAAATGATTAGCCGACCTAGGTCGCAAGCTTTAAATTTGCTGTTGGAATGAGGATATGTATTGCTACAACTCCTACAGGCAGTTTTCCATTGGTTTTTGGGGTTTTCATTCTATTTATAATATGTTATTGGCACACCGCTTCTGCACAAACACAGCCAAAGATCAAATTTTTTATTCTTTGGGCCGCGGCTAAAGGCGTTCATCAGAATTCATCCGCTAAATCTAGTATTTTAGTGGTATTTTCTTACTATTTCTTAGCTCAACTGAGTACCGAGGTGGGAAAAAGTCCCCGGCTAAGGGCTTTAGCTACCTATTTACCTCTCGCTTACTCCTATGCTTAGCTAGCAGTTTTCGTCGTACTGAGTACTAGGCTTTACAAAATGCAGCGCATGGTACTGGTGAGAATAGCTAATAAGTGTAGGTGAATACCAATTTTCCCGTCTGGCATTGCCATTTGTGTGCTGCCACCTTTCGCGTTTTATTCGATAGCGCACATATCGAGTGCACTCGGGAGTATTTACATCTCTAGCGGCAGAAACAGAAAACTTTTTCTGAAAATTTCTAAATGCAAAGTGAGAGGTGCAGTGAGATCTGTTTACAATGGAAGCGAGTTTAGAGGAGAGCATGGACAGCGACCACGCCAGTTCGCCGATCAGCAAGCCGGAGGCGAAGGAATCCCCGCCAGGAGTGGGGCTCAATGGAAATGGCAGTGGTAGTGGTGGTGGTAGCGGCAGTGCCAGTCAGGAGCCCCCGAATAATGGCGTTGCTATAGGCAAGGAAAAACCAAGCGAGGCCCAGTGGTGCGTAGTCAGGGAAAAGTCAGTGTATGAATGTGAATCAGAGATTTTACCTTGACCCAATTTCAGGACCAAGCCGTTTAATGCATTCAGCGGACGACCAATTGGGGAGCACACAGCCCAGCAGCAGGCGCTGCAGCAGCAGCAACAGCAGCCACCGCCGCAACAGCAGCAGTCGCAGCCTCAGCAGCTGCAACAACCTCCTCCGGGGGCACACGGAGTGACGGGACCTCCTGAAATCTGGGTAGAAACCAAGGCGGAGGACGGCCGCTCCTACTATTACCATGCGGTAACCAGGGAAACCACTTGGACCCGTCCCGAGGGACCCACGGTCAAAATAATGACCCAGGCCGAGGTGGAGGAGATGGCCAAGCGACCGGCCCAAGCAGGCAAGGCAGAGGCCAAGGCAACCGAGACGCCCGGCGAGGTACCGGCGGTGTCTACGCATCTTACCTCGCAACCACCTCCGCACCTGATGAGCCAGCCACCACCAAATGCGGCAGCTCCGCTGCTTTCCCAGCCGCCCCCAAATGTGCGCCAGCAACCGCCGCCCATGTTCCAGCCACCTGGTATGCAGCCGCCTCCCGGGTTTGGACAGCCGCCGTTTTGCATGCCGCCGCCGGCCTACGGGTTTCCTGGAGGTGCGCCTCCAGGTGCAGCACCTTGGGGCGTGGGCATTCCGCCATGGCAGCAACAACAGCAGCACTTGCATGGCGGGCAGGACAACAAGCCAGCCAAGTCGCTGATCATCAAGCCGGGCGTTATCGATCCGGCGGTTATTGCTCGGGCAGCAGAGTGGTCAGAGCATCGTGCTCCCGACGGCAGACCGTACTACTTTCATGCCGCTCGCGGGGAGAGTGTCTGGGAGAAGCCGCAGGCACTGAGGGACATGGAGGCCGCCAGAATGGCTGCCCACTCTGGCGTGGCGCCCGCTGTGGCTCCGACCGGACTACCTCCCCATCTGCTGCCCAATCCTATGATGCACATGCCACCGGGCTCAGCGCCACCGGGATTCGACCCGCATGCCGCTTTTGCGGCCGCTGCTGCAGCAATGAAAGCGAATTCGGAGAACACCAAGGCGGCGCAGGCTGCCGCTCTCGAAAAGGAGGCCAAGAAGGCGGCGGAGGAGAAGCGGAAGAAGGAGGAGGAGCAGAAGAAGGCGGCGGCCACAGCCAAGCAGACGGACAAGAGTCGACCGGTGACAAGTACACCCATCGCTGGAACGCCCTGGTGCGTCGTGTGGACAGGAGATGCACGCGTCTTCTTCTATAATCCCTCGACGAGGACTTCGGTTTGGGATCGCCCCGAGGATTTAATGAATCGCGAGGATGTTGACAAGGCGGTTAACGAACGTCCCGAGCAACTGAAGACCCCGCAGGAGAAGTCGGCTGATGCGGATCAGAAATCCAGCGAGGAGGCTGCACAGGAACAGGCTCAAGCCCAAGTTCAGGCCCAGCAGTTGGAACAGGTGCAACGCGTGGATGCAGATGATGACGATGACGACGAGGTCATCAAGATACGCACCGAGTCAGAGTCCAGTGTGGAGGAGGTACCCACCAAACGAGTGCGAATGAGTAAGTCTATTTTTTTGCTGTGGAATTTCAGTTATTTTATTTAACACTACAAATTGTTGAATATATTTTAAGAACATTGTTTTAGTTTATAATCTACTCTCAAGGTGATACAAACTGATTTTAATTACCTAATTTAAATTCATATCATTCCTTACATTAGTTTCTAAGTCAAAGCGGGCCGAGGATGCCGCCCTAGAAGCTGAGCAGCGAGCGGCTAAGGAGCGGGCCCTGGTGCCCTTGGAGATGCGCGTCACTCAATTCAAGGAGATGCTTAGAGAGAAGGACGTATCTGCTTTTAGCACCTGGGAAAAGGAGCTTCACAAGATCGTGTTCGATCCACGATATCTGCTGCTGACTTCGAAGGAACGCAAACAGGTATTTGAAAAATATGTCAAGGATCGGGCCGAGGAAGAGCGTAAGGAGAAGCGGAACAAGATGCGTCAGAAGCGAGAGGACTTCCGCAGCCTAATGGAAGAAGCCAGGCTGCACGGCAAGTAAGTATTGGGAGTTTTAAATGGATTAATGTTAACCAATGTTGGCCTCAGTGGTAGTTTTAGATAAATATTAGACATTCGTTAAAAAATATGTTAAAGCATAACTGGTCAACTGGAAAATTACGAGTTAGTATAGTTAGAATCAGGGACCGTAAATAATCATTATTTGAGATTTTTATTTTAAAAAGACTATTGTGATATTTTGTTTTAAACGTCAAAAATAACGTTCTTTTTACTCTTGTCCACAAAGTATATGCATTTCAACAAATCTGGAAAGCAAATTATCTGTTATTTGTTCATGTCTATAAAGTGCATAAAAACCAGTTAATGTGTTGATTAAAACTTGTAAAAACCTCAGTAGGCCTTCTAAAATAAAAATCTCAAATAATGATTATTTACGGTCCCTGGTTAGAATAGTTAAGTCTGAGAGAAACCAATATTTACGCAACCCTTAGAGCAGTTTTCTAATCCGTCTGATAAATTTAAAGGAAGCTTTAAAAAATGAAAAAACCCTACTTTAAATATAGCAAACGGACAAGAAAACGGCCCTTAATTTTATAAATTGATAGTAAAAGGTCTGAAAGTTTCTGAAATTTGTTCACAAAAAATATATTTTTTTGTTTGCTTTTATAATGTTTTTTAGAGACAAAACTTTTAGTGAAATAATTATAAACCACCAGGTACCATTTTGTACCATAAGAGTTTACTTCTTTCTTGTTTCAAAATGTTTAAATTGATTACAATCAAATATTTAACAATTTCGCTGGAGGTTTATTGATCAAATATAGGCTAAAACACCAAGATTTCTGAAGTTACGTTAAGCAAATTACCGAATGGTCTTACTTTTAAAAGTATTCGCATACCATTTGCTAACCCTAGATCATTTTGCAGATCCTCGTTCTCGGAGTTTAGCCAGAAGAACGCGAAGGAAGAACGGTACCGGGCCATCGAGAAGGTCCGCGAGCGCGAGAGTCTCTTCAACGAGTACATTGTGGAAGTGCGGCGTCGCGAAAAGGAGGACAAGCAGATGAAGAAAGAGCAGGTAGGCCTAGGGTATGCTCGAGCGCCAAACCCCATTACCTTACGTATCTCGATGTTTAAACATAAATGCATATATATGCACCTCTATATATATTTAACTTACCTGTATGCCAAACGTATTTACATAATGTGATTGATTTTCTGTTAACTTTTAAACCATAAACAACGTGTGAATCGAAACCGAATCAAACCAAACTGAAAATGAAACTGAAACTGAATCCGAACCCTGATCGATTGCATTACCCCTGAACGTGTTGGGTTCCCGGTGGTTTGCCACCCGATACCTTAGCCACTAGCTAGCAGGTTACAGCACAAATGCACCACCCAAAACACCAAAATACACAACAGCAACAGCATCAAGAACCACCTGTACAACCACCTCAAGAGCCAATTCCGCCCGCCGTCTGTCATCGCCGTCCACTGATCTACTTGACCACGCACATGCTTGCAATCTGTGTGGTGAGTTACTTGAAACATACAAAGCAAAAACATTAAAATTTGTTTTCCTGCAATAAGAGACAAATTTGGACAAACAAAAAAAAACAATTAATAAAAACAAAAACAAAAATATCGAAAGGTTTGCCAAACTGAAAATTACCTGATAATCGTTGGTGTGATTTCCACTTCCCGCCCTACGCCCCACGTCGCCCCTCTCGGATGTAAAATGCGATGTGATGAAGAGGATGATGCGATGTTGTGATTGGCATTGGGAGTTCATGAGTGATGATGTTTGAAGTTCGCGTTGGGCTCTCGGATGGATGCCAACGAGCAGGAGACGGGCAGAGAGAGAGATTGTTCCAGAGATCCAGAGCGACAGCAATTCGTGTGCAGGTGTCTGCGGCGCTGAGCAAACAGTATGAATAATACTTAATTTAATTAACCCACTATTTTCGTTTTGTTTACAAATAATGAACACACACAGCAGTTTGTCACCTGACAGAGGCAAGCCCAAGGAACCGAACTCAGACCCATACAACCTGTGCAGACCAAAGAACTCTTTGCTCTGGCAGGTTCAGGCAGCGGCCCGAAGTCGCTGAAAGGCTCTCTTACCATATACCATATATTTACTGTAGATGTATCGACTATTGTACTCTTCGGCCCAGCTGAAGACTCACCTCTTCGGCCTGCTAATCAAGAGAGAAGAGGCGGGGCTAGGTGGTCCGTTTGTTGCATTAAGCAGGCACATTCTTCAACTATTGCTTTATTCCGCACCCGCCTTATTTCAAACTGTGTTGTATATTTTTATAGAATCCCATCACCTTTAAACTTGCATATCGTAATTATTTTTTGTTATTGCAGTATAATTCTCTTACCTTCTAAATTTATCTTGAATCTTACTATGCAATTTCGCTAAATAAATAGTGGTGTACTATTATGTATGTAGATTAAATCACAAAAAAAGAGCTTAGACCAAAGATGATTTGTATTTAAAAAGCATTCTATTTTAAAGGAAGACCTAGCAACTGTTGCTTCAAAATAGAAGTAAAAAAACCATTAAATATTTAAACGCGATTCTGTGGTTCGATTTAAGTCTGTCCCTGCCAAATCTCTCTTAGAAAGCAGGACCTGAACTAATCGAAAGTTCTCTTTCAGTTACGTCTCTGATTGCTAATCAAAACCCCTCTTTTTCAGGCACAAAACCGTGTAACTATGTTCAATAGATTAAGAAACAGTAGGCCTAAGCTATAGTCTAGACCATTAAGTGATAGAATGTTAAGTGAAGGGCGCATCAATGCCAGATTCCTAATCCAATCTCTCTGTCGCATTTCTTTTTTCTTCCGCATGGCTGTCATGTCAATATTCCTTTCACATACACTTCACAAACTCTAGATCCGCAAGGACTTTTTGGAAATGCTGCGCGAACGTCACGACATCGAGCGCCACACCAGGTGGTACGACATCAAGAAGAAGTTTGAGTCGGACTCCCGCTACCGGATGGTGGATTCCGTTTACCGGGAGGAGTACTTCGAAGATTACCTGCACATCATGAAGGAGGAAAAGCGGAAGGAGCGGGAGCTGCGAGAACAGAGGGAACGGGAGCGACACCGCGAACGCAAATCGGATCGGAAGGATAGAGACAAGGACAAGGATAAGGATAAGGACAAGAATCGGAAGGATCGAGGACGCAGTCGTTCAAGAGACAAGGACCGCGAGCGCAAATCGTCCAAGGAAAAGGAAAAAGTGAAGGAGGAAAAGGGCAAGTCGGAGAAGAGCAAGAAACGAGATACTCCGGTAAGTTTATTTTATTTACCTCAATTGATGCCTAAGGATCGTATCGTTTGAATCGACCTTTTAAGACGTGAATTTAAATGATATTGAAAAAGGAACTTCAAATTTGAAAAAAGAACGTTTTTGTTAATAGTTAAATCGCAATTACTAGTTTACAAAAACCAACAAATTATTGGGAATTCAGGGTTTCAAAGATAAACAGTTGTCAAATGTTTTAATAAATTAAAAAACCAAGAATTTATTCACCTGAAATTAAGGCTTCTTTTAGTCTTTTAGCTTAAAGTCTTTTTTATCTGACTTAGGTGAGCCCTTTCGTGAACATATTTAAACCTAATAAGATCCATACGCATTTATTGAAGTGTAACACGGAGTAATCCATTTAATTTCATTTTTGGTTTATGGTTTTCTAATAATTTTAGGAGGAGGGCGAGCATCGCGAAGAATCCGATAAGGAAGAGCGTGCTGGCAGCGTCGATAGCGAGGTTGCTCGCCAACGGGAGACCGAGGCTGAGCAGAAGCAGAAAGAGCGTGAAAAAAAGCTGAGGGCAGAGCAGAGTATTCGGGAGCGGGAAAAGGAAGTGCAGCGAACCCTGGCCGGTCATCTGAGGGATCGGGACAAGGAGCGCGAGCATCACATGCGCGAAGAGTGCATTGGCCACTTCACGGCTCTTCTGACAGATCTGGTGCGGACGCCGGACTTTACATGGAAGGAAGTTAAGCGCCAGCTGAGGAAGGACCATCGCTGGGAACTGATCGAGACTCTCGATCGGGAAGATCGTGAGCGGTAAAAATAAACATATACTTATTCATAAAGCATGTTAATCTTATTATATTAACTTCTTGTCAACAGAAAGTTCAACGAGCACATTGACAATCTGATGAAGAAAAAGCGAGAGCGATTCCGCGAAATGCTGGACGAAATTGGTACTTTGCAGCTCACTAGCACTTGGAAGGAGATTAAGAAACTGATCAAAGAGGATCCGCGATATTTGAAATACAATTCGGACAAAGGAGAGCGCGAGTTTCGGGACTACATCAAGGATAAAACCATGACTGCAAAGACCTCGCTTCGGGAACTTTTGCAAGAGTGCAAATTTATTACCCACAAGAGCAGCGATCTCATCAAGGAAAATCCCAACCATCTCAAGGAGATCCAGGACATACTGAAGAACGACAAAAGGTAAGAAACGGTTATTTTATCGATTCATGTGCCAAATAAAAATGGTTGTATTCCTTTCCTATTTATGGCCATCTTATATTAGTAAAACAATTTTTTTAGAATGATCAGCTTTTATAACTTATTAATTATTTCCTGAAAGGTATCTGGTGCTCGACCACATGGAGGACGAGAGGAACACCATTGTCCTCGGCTTCTTAGAGGAACTAAACAAACGCGGCCCGCCGCCACCACCCACAGCTTCTGAGTCAACGCGCCGCAATAAGTAGTGGCATTATAACAAAAACTATTCAATTTAATCATAACAATTAAATTATTATACTAAGCCCGAAGTTCTTCAACTTCTAATATTTTAATTGAATAAAATACACAAATTAAAGCAATTTAAAAAAGTGACACAGTAAACCCCTTTCATTCATAAGTATTTATTGATCATTTATTCGTTATGTTAGAGTTCCGATTTGTATCTATATATTGATCATGTTTTACTTCTCGTTTTAATAATTATATAATCTTTATGCTTTTATTTACCCATTCATCGGTTCGCTTCATCGCTACCGTTATTGTTAAATACACATTCTTTCTCCACTGTAGCCGCGTTTACTAATATCTAAAAATAAATACAAATACAATCCGTAATTTTATTCGTTTTCAAAGCCAGACTTCTTTCCAATCATATGGAAAATGTTTGTGTATTAGGAACTAATATTGAAAATAATGTGTCCTCAGTGTTGCAAACAAATCTTTTTCCTCTCGTTTGTATAAAGTTGTTTCTGGTTTTGGTGTTTATATATGAGTCAAAATCTGCCAAGTGGGCCACCCCTGTTCCGAAGGTCCGATTTTCATCGAACTTTTTTACTTTTCCGGTTCACAACGAAAATATAAGAACTTCATTTGAACGGTTTTGCGAAATTTTGAGTTTTACCGGAGTTATAGGGGTCAAAACATGGCATTTTTGACACTTTTTCGAAAAAGTTGCTCTCAGTCATTTTTTCATAACTTCCGAACGGTTAGAGATATCTTAATGATGTTTTCACTAATCGCTCAAGAATTATTATGGCTTTCCATAAAAAATGTAAAAAAATTAAAAATTTTTTTCTTAAAAATAAGTCAACATTTTTTTGTAGTTTTTATTTTTTCAGTGTTCTTCACCAGCTATAGAGTTTAAAACCATTTGAAAATGAAGTTTGATTCATTACGAAAAAGATCAAAAAAAAAAAGAGTGGCCCGGCCAAAGGTTTTTCGCAATATCGATTTGAAGAAGGGCGCACAGCGGTTTCCCATACAAAACGGCAAAAAGTCCCCCATTGACAGCTGACGCTACGCTCGCTACGGCATGTGTTGACCAGCCAGTTTTCACGAGCAAGCCGTTTTTGTATGGGAAACCGCTGTGCGCCCGTCTTCAAATCGATATTGCGAAAAACCTTGGCCGGGCCACTCTTTTTTTTTTTTGATCTTTTCGTAATGAATCAAACTTCATTTTCAAATGGTTTTAAATTCTATAGCTGGTAAAGAACACTGAAAAAAATAAAAACTAAAAAAAATGTTGATTTATTTTTAAGAAAAAAATTTTTAATTTTTTTTAATTTTTTATGGAAAGCCATAATAATTCTTGAGCGATTAGTGAAAACATCATAAAGATATCTCTAACCGTTCCGAAGTTATGAATTAATGACTGAGTGCAACTTTTTCGAAAAAGTGACAAAAATGCCATGTTTTGACCCCTATAACTCCGGTAAAACTCAAAATTTCGCAAAACCGTTCAAATGAAGTTCTTATATTTTCGTTGTAAACCGGAAAAGTAAAAAAGATCGATGAAAATCGGACCTTCGGAACAGGGGTGGCCCACTTGGCAGATTTTGACTCATATGTTAATACAAGCTCAACTAATCAAATAAACCATTGATGACACTATCGGTTAAATAGCAATATGGTGTTCCATACAGGCTGTTTATAATAAACTTTTTCATTGAATAAAATTTGGCTGAAAATATTTAGATCTTCAACGATATTTCTCAATATTAAAGAATTATTTTCGATAAATTTACGATATTTGAAAACAGGGTTAAAATTATTAAGGGCTAATTATTACTAAATGTCGAATTGCAAAAACTCAGCAATACCATGCTTTCAATTCCAAGCAAAAAATAATTAGGTATACAACTCCTCATAAGTTCATAATTAGATTAAAGCTAAATCTAATTATGGTTTTAAGAAAAATGTATGTGTCCAAAACTAGCTTGGAATCGAATGGTCGGAACTCAGTTTTTTAGTACACTTTAATGACCCAATTTGCATAATAAATAAGGAAAACGGTTTAAATAAAATAAATCGAATACTTATCAGTAAATCATAATTTGAGCATGACCAGTAACGCTAGAGAAATCAAAAATAAATCGGGTTATGCATTCTTCTATATTTTAACGAAATGTCTTCCTGACCTTTCCGATCCTTTCAGCACCCGTCCGATCAATATACACGCACCCACTAAAGCATCTATCTATATTAGCTGGTGTTTTAGTTGACTGCTCTATAAATTCTAGAATTTCGATTCTCTATTTTACGCTACAACTGCTAGTTACTATCAGTATAATATTTACTTGTTGTTGATCTTATTGATTTCATTTTCGGTTTCGGTTAGGCACAAAGTAACTGGTTTTCATTTTATCTTTTTCATTTCTCATGGTTTATGATCGAATTTTATACTCTATTATTATTTACTAGTTATATTTAGTGGCTACTATCAATTTATTGAACAGTTTAGTGTTGTTGTTCCTTAATTCCCTCTCTTTATAATAAAATTGTAATATATTGCTACAGTTTGGTTGTTGTTCTTTTTCTCGTGCAAACCACATTTCCATTGTTTGTAAATTGAAAAATACAGGTGTGTCTTTGTGTCTTCTATATGTGTTTATATCTAAATAGTAAATTCTATTACAGTTAAATTTTTCTTTTTTGATGTACATCTACATATACAGGCATAAAAAATTGCAAGAAACGGGCGAGGGGAGGTTGTGTTGGAGTAAAGGGTGTATTGCCATGTTTAAGGGTGAGCTTTATTCCACTCGGACTCGGAAAACATCCAAACGAAGCAACTCAAAAAGAATCAACTAAAAGTCTCAAGCTAAATCAAAAAACTTTTAAAATCATATAAAAATATATTTTTATTAAATAAAGCAGTTTATGAACTAAATGAAACTTTTACTAAAATCAGCGATAATACTCCAAGTCATAAGGTTAGTAACAGCGTTCTAAAGTTCATACTCTCATATAATTATTCTTTAAGCTTTCTTATAGAAATGTAATGACCAAGTAAGTGAAATAAGTGCTTTATACATTGTAAAAAATTTGTATGTGTATTTTCATTTGTTTTAAATGCAAAAGTTACCAATTGTAGTGTTTCAATGTTGACAACTATAATGTATGTTTTTTGTTCCTTCTTTTTATATGATCTTTATGCTTATAATTTGAAAAGCATTCAAAATGCTCAACACAAATTTTGATTCTATACAAATTTAATTTTATATTTTGGTATATCAAATGTTGTTTCGATGATGTGGTGGCCAAAGCAGCATGATACCTTCTCGTATGCATGTATGTATACAAAACACAGAAAACCGATTTGTGGAAATTGAACTAAGCGTGTCTCTTGTTTGCCGTATGCATTTTTTCTTAGTTTTGCTGTCTGTCTCGTTAGAATAGATATAATATAATAATATGTGTGTATATAGTACGTTTATATAAATAATTAATAATAGTAATCATAATCATTAATAATTCATCATCTGTTCGTATGCATAACTGTTATTGTTGCTATTGTGGTTGTTGCTGTTCTTGTTGTTTTCTGCAGTAGTAATTCATTAGTAATGGTTAAATAAGCGGTTTCTTCTTGGTTGTCAATCAGTTGCCCTTGGTTGCCTCTTTTGCGGCCATAATCAAAGGCGTCAGACTGGCCAATGGACGGGCCAATTTTAGGAAGGGATGCTGCAATGCAAAGAGTAGATGATTATAATGCGAGTCTGGTCATCAGGTTGACTAGAGGACTCACCTTCAGCAAGTCCAATGCACTGGCTCGCCGTTCTACCTCCACCTCAAGACACTGGTCGAGGAAATCTTGAAATGCTGCGGACAGCTTGTCTTTTTCTTTAATCTCTGGCTTGCCATTGGTGGCGATGAGGTACAAGGCTTTTAGCGGATTCTCGTTTAGATACGGCGGTTCGCCCTCAACCATTTCAATAGCCATGATTCCCAGCGACCATAGATCAACCTGGAGGAGAAAACCGTGGTTAGAAAATGTATATTATAAAGCTTATATTTTTAGGAGCCCAAATTGTCGGTAATTTGAAGAGCTTTTAACCAACAATTACCATTTTTTATTTTTAGTTGTGAAAAAGCTGTTTATTGTTAGCAATAATCAGCATATTGTGCCACATTTTTTTTACACAATATATATTTTTAAATATCTTTCCTAATTATACATTTTTTAAATAATCCAGAAATGGACTGTAAAAAAATACTAACCTTGGGTCCGTACTGTTTCCGAGTGACCACCTCGGGAGCCATCCAGTAGGGGGTGCCCACCATCGTTGTGCGTTTGGATTGCTCGGGCGATATTTGCGCACAGAAACCGAAATCAGTCAACTTGACAGAGCCGTCGAGGCCCAGCAGGATGTTATCACTCTTAATGTCGCGATGGATAACCTGGTTGGCGTGGAGGAACTCCAGGGCTTGCAGAACCTCTCGGCAGACAGCTGCTATCTGACCCTCGTCCATGCAGGTCTCGGTGACGACGTCGGTTAGCGAACCGCCAGGCAGGTACTCCATGACCACCCACAGCTCCTCAGACACTAGATAGCTGTCCAAGTAGTTGACCACATTCGGGTGCTTGTTCTCCCGCATCACGAGGATCTCGTTGATGATCAGTTCCTTTTTGGGCTGCTGCGACAGGTTCATCTGCTTGATGGCCACCTCCATGCCCGTCGACGATTCAATGGCCGTGTACACGGTGCCAGAGGCACCCTGGCCAATCTTCTCCATCTTGGTGTACTTCCGATTCGGGTCGCCCACAGAGACGATCGTACGCAGCTTCTCCAGGATCTCCTCATCGGACATCTTCTTCTTCTTGGCGTTGGCTGCTCGCGTGTTGGGCGTTGCAGCCGCAGCCACGGCTGCCTGGGGCACGGCGATTTGGTTGCCTGCCGCAGGCGGAGGAGCAGTAGCGGCTGCCACTTGACCCACCGTTGGTTCCGGCGTGTACAGGTCTGACGATCCAACGGAGGCGGGTGTGGGCGATGCGGGCGTGATGATGGGCGGTAGGGGAACCGCAACAGGAAGCGGAACCGTCGAGTTGCGAGCGGAAGACGTCGGCGTGGGACAGTGGATCGTTGGCAGGGCGTGGTGTGTGGCATCGTCGTCGTGGAACGAGGGAAATGATGAAAAGGAGGAAGCAGAGGAATGGTGATTAGTCGTTGTTGCTGTAGCTGCTGTTGCTGCTGTTGCTGCTGTTTCTGCTGCTGCGGTAGCTGGTGCACTTGCTGTCTCGACGAGACTACAACGAGATGCAGCTGGAGCAGGAACAGTAGTAGGAGTGGTAGAACAACTAGGATTAGTAGCAGACAAAAGAGTTGATGTTGCATCGGAGCCTTCTGTTTCTGCTGTTGTTTCTGTGGTTGTTGGGGACGTTGGAGCTGGCGTCGTCGCAGTTGTTTTATTGCGTTGTTTAATTTATTTTTTTTAGCAGCAATTAGAAGCGGAACAAAACAGAACAGAACACAGAGAGGCGATACAAA